GAAAGGTTTAAAATTAAAATGTTCGCTGTTAACTTCCTAGGCACAGTCAATTGTGCGTCCAGTTTCCACCGTCTATCCCTTTTAGAACTTCATTAGAATTCACATAATTCACTCGCGACCGTCCATATGAAGGGTAATATCATCCAGCATGCGTTGTGAAGGAGCCTGCGCTGGTTAAAGCTTTCCCCTTCCATTTACTTTTACTCATTTCCTCCGTACGTATCCCTCTGATGTTGCTATTCCTTGTTCCGTACCGATGCCTACCACGGATCTCAGTTGTGAACTAGCTGGGTAACTGGCTCAACTGGATTATCCGTGTAACAAACAGCCGAAGCGTGCGAGTTCAAATCCCGTGGTTGGGAATCAAACTCATCCTCCCCCACACACCATCATCATCATCATCATCCCTCTGCGGTCAATTAAAAACGAATACCACTCTCTGTGGGATGCCATCTGCGGCTGGCCTGCGCATCGACCAACCGCAATGGGAATGTGGAATTTCCATCGCCGGGTACTGCCTTGTTTGAGCTGGTGGTAGACTTTCGTACTGAACACAGCGTGCCGCCTGTAGACACGAGCGGGGCGAATGAACTCAATGTCTTACTTAGCAACGGGTTAAAATAGCGACACGCGGGCGCTTAAGGGAGACACCGACGCGCTCGTCGATTGTCGCATCGCAGGACTCGTGCGAGAGACGGCGACGGCCTTTGGGAAAGGAGGTGGCCTTCATCCAGCAGTGGATTGACCGTTGGCCGTAATTCGACACGCTGGAAAGCAACGCCTTTGAATGGATGCCTCGGATTTTATTGTTCGTTCGCAACGTTATGCTCAGGGTAGCATTTGCCCGATAGCTTGACAAGTTACAAGAAACGCATTGATAATTTAAAATATAAAGTCCCCCGTACGGTGCACTGCGTCTCAAAGTGTGGCGTTTTCAACCCATGGCACAGGACCGTAGTCAACACCGCCCTCTGCTGGCAAGGGCCATCAGCAGCAGTTCGCGTACCGATCTGACCGCGCTCCCGCAGGCCAAACACGTGATACAACAACCTCCGTTCGCAACGAAACGGCGGTGACGTCAACACGGCGCTTGTGCCAGGCTAGGTGCACTTCGAGGTCATGTGGAAGTGTCGAAGGCCCGCTGGTAGGAGGTCACGGAACAGACCCAGGTGCCGTGGGTTGATTGACCGAGACGGCGGGCGGATGCACCAACTGTGCTCGCAACTGTCAACTCGCTGCGTTTTAGACGCACGGCGCTCCGCTCGTTGTTGTGAGCGTCGCTCCTCCGCCCTCCGTTGTTGCTGTAGGGCGGTTGCCCTCAACTGCCCAGTAGCGTCCTGCACGAACCCCCTCCACAGAGGCCGATCCTGACACTGCTGGTACCGGTCAGCGGCAAGTCCACTCAGCTCAACATCCTTCTGTAACCACATCAGTCCGTCTCTTCTCTATCCCGTGCTATGCCGGTTTATCGCGATCTATCCGACCCAACAGGAACCGCTTGGACATGCGGTTGCGAAACGGGCATTTAGTATCACGCGCCTTGGTCGTGGCTCTTTAAACCCCATGCATTCGTGCGTCCACAAGTGTTTTTTTTTTCAAATACAGGTTTCCCTCGCTTTATGCGGGTTCGGGTTTGTGCAATTTCGCCTATATGCGGCTCATCTAGCTCTACACAACATTCGCTCTATGATACGGTCTCAAGTCAGCCACATGCGGTCGTACCGTGGGACGTGTGAACTTTGAGTGCGTACTGTGCGCTACTCGACAGGCAGCCGTCTCCTCGTGCGGTTTCGCTTTGTGCGCCCATTTTTTTGTAACTCATCCACTGCTACCACTACCACCGCACACAGCGAAGGGGGGTAACCTGTACTTTTGTTTTAGATTTTGCAAACACTGGCGACTAAACTTATCGTTTAAAAAAAAAATTCCAATCCCTCAAAATTTAGTTTAGGGGCCGTCCATAAATGACGTCACGCACCTGGGGGGGGGTCAGACATTTGTGACGCCGTGACGAGGGGGGGGGTCAAAAATCGTCCAAAATCGCGTGACGTCATTTATGGACGGCCCCTTATTGGACCATTTGCACTACACTCGCACGTCTCTTCCTGAATACCTTGGAAAACGATTGCCTCAATGGGCCGACTGAAATCACTCCAAACAAAATACCCAGACGCACCCCATCTCGCTCAAGACTTCAGATCCCCAGCGGAGCTGCACTTGCCTAGCGCTCGGCTGGGAGACCAGTGTAGAACTTCCTTCCGACGTTGTAGTTGGTGGGGCTACGAGCTGGGCAGGTGAAGAGAGTGGACGCATGTCACTCCCTCGTATGCGTGGGGGTTTTCTCCGGCTGTCCCACGTATCTCCTACATGAAACCAAACATTTTAAAATGGGATTGACCTAACATTAAAAAATGTAGGACCCTCTTGAGACTCAACGTAGCTTACCTTGGTAAATAATGATGCGTATAAAGGCAATGTATCTAGTCTCTTGGTTGTCTTTGTTCTCCGTGTGAAAGCGTCAGTTTCTCATCAAACGTAATGTGACCTGAACATCTCTAGTCCAAGCAGGTTTACACTCCGCTAAATGAATTCTAGACCAGCCCCTGCACTTCGCTGGTGATCTTCACAAATGTTCCACGGGCCAAAGGAGCAAATGGCACCACTTTACGTGGCAAAAAACGTCAGTTGCCAATGTTGTGTTTGTCTTGCAAAACCAAGTCATCAATGGTCGGGAGTAGATGGTCTCAGCCTGGTCACCAATGAATGCACAATTTGGCCGAAAAACGTAGGCCTGGTTTTGCATTTGATTTGGATACATTCCAGCTCAAGGAATGTTTTTTTTAAGTTTGACTTGTCAAGTGGTAATCTCATAGTACAGATCGTGGAAGTGTGCACCTCCTGCTGTGTAAAAAATAAACTAAGGGGACTGAAAAATGTCACGTCCATGCCCCAACACACGTGGCACGCTGTTCCGCGAGAAATCGACACGGATCATCTAACTGGCATCGACAATGGGATATTGTTTTGTTCTTTTGAAAACAGTGAATTATATACAACCTTATATACAACCTAATAATTTAACAAGGTTTACTTTCATTAATTAATAATGGTGCAACGTTGGCGATTCGTTAAGGCTTTTCATGGTGGCGATAACCACACGATTTGCCTGTCCTGCATCGAGACTTTGGTGCATACCACCTGTGCATTGAGACTTTGATGTACACCATCTGTACATTGAGACTTTGATGTACACCACCTGTACATTGAGACTTTGGTGCACGCTACCTATGCATATGAAGACCACGGTCAGAGCAAATCGTAAAGACTTTAGAACTCACTAAATGAATGTAACCTCAAGACAAAAAGTACGACTTTGGCACGGGACCTGTGGACATCAAGAAGTCCAAGTGTTATGGTCTTCCTGTGAACGCCACCAAATATTCACGTGTCACCATCCTTAAGGGTCGATTTTTCTCAATAATTCCAGAATTATGTTCATTAATTACAAAATTTGGTTGGAACGCTTTAAAGATGCTATTAACATCGTAAGTGTCATTCCACATCACACTCCCAGATGATACAAATTATCAACCTCCACATCTTAGAGGACATTTGCCTATAACATCTGGTAGTTCACCAGAAACGATTCAAGCAAGCCTTAATAGTTTTTTTGGGTGAGATCGCCTAAATGTGTCGTTAAAACCCGCCACCACCCGACACAGCCAACAAGGGTTGTCACGTAAACAGAACATGCGAATTCGTCACTCGTACAGCATACCGGTGTTGGAGAGCCAAGCCACAACATTAGCAATCTGAGTATGTGACAAAACTTACTAGTTGGCTGTCGGGAGGTGGTGGGTTTTAACGACATTTATATATTTACCCGATCTAACCCAAAAAAAACCTCTTATGGATAGTGGTCGCGAAAGCCTACGTGTTAAACTCAAGCAAGCCTACTTGCTGATGAAACGGTGCCAACATCGGTCCAGTTTGCTTTTATTGAAGCAATGCTGCTGGGATGTTTCACTCTCAGAATGCCATTGGGTCGATGGGTCTTGTAAGAAATACTGTAGTTTTTTTACGTGGAGAGACTGATTATATACGGAGACATTGTCTGCTCATCCATTTCTTTTTCTTCTTCTTGTTCAATTAATGGGAGGTCACTTTTCCACTGCTGCACATGCTTATCTGGAATGCCTCTCCCTCTGGATGGCTGCACTACTGACTCGATCGTGCATGCGTTACAAGCCCAGGCTAGAGGGCTACCCCCCTTCTCGGTCTACAAGTGACCGTTCCATTTTAAAAAATACAACACGTCTCGCTCAGCACTGGAATCAGACTAAACTGTTTTATTTTAATCAGGTAAGGCCCCACTGAGCTATATAGCTCTTTTCAAAAGCGACCTGGCCACACACGACAGCTCAACGAAGTGGCTTATCATATGGAAATTTATAGCAGCCAAATATTAAAAACGCATGTCTCTAAATGTGGATGGGAAAAACCGGAGGACCCGGGAAAAAAATCCACGCGATCACTGGGAAAGGCACACGCAAACTCCTAATATACAGCATGCGTCAGGGTCGGAATCGAACCCACGCCATCCAACATACCAGGTGACAAGCGTTAACGTCTCATCGCGCGGTGCCCTTACCACCTATATTATTCTTACCACCGCACGCTCCACAACTTTTCTCCACTTGACCTCATCTAAAATGTGCTCCCTTCCTGCGCAATCGAATGCTGTGCACGTCTTATATAGTTTCTTACATCACTCTAGAGATGCGGTCACATTGATGCTTTTTTTTGTTCACAAATTCAACATGAAATGGCGCTTTTCTTCGGAAATTTGGCGCAACTTATAGTTTTACCACCGTTCATAGGCGGCAAAGGACAGATTACATATCCAATCTGGGTCTCAAGGACTAAATAGCATTCATCTGGGACTCCACTCCTCGGCAAACGCAGTCATCGCAACAAAAAACACTCCCATGCACACAGGAAAGAAACGCAACTACCGTATTTACAAATATACAAACGGCAAACTATATTACAACTTACACGGGGGGTGGGGTTGCCTCTTTTGAAAGAAGTCCGTATGTGTACCCATCGGCCAGACGCGTTACACACAACCAGGTGAAGACCGTCTCGCCTGAAGCCATGGATGTGGACTTGGCAGAGTTAAGGGTATATTATGGGCAGTTCCAGTAGAGATTAGTTTTGGTAGTGTACCTTTCCGTCTAGTGACACGTCCAAGCGGCTGAGGTTTCACTTTACACGGAGCACGTTTTAGCAGCCATTATCACGAATATATTTTTTTTTGCGCGAGATGCCACAATGATCTCGCCAAATCGGTGTCGTTCAGACCCCTCCACAAGCCAAACAAATACAATTCGTCACACGTTTAACGCGTAAATTCATTGTTTTAGATCACCAGTAAGTTGAATAATTCGTAGTTCTATACTAATTGTTGAACTTTGATACTAATTGCTTGATTTGATTGAGAATGTTTCAACTTATAGGCGAACTGAAACGATTGGCACATTAAACAACTTGTACACACAATTCTACTTATTTGGCCGTCACGTGGCGGAGGGCCTTAGCCACACATTTGGCCAGATCATTAGCCTAACCCCAAAAAACACGAATCAAATTCGTTTTCAGTTTCTTTGCGATTATAAAAACTCCCGTTTGCTCATTGGGGCCACAATTTCCTGGGGGTTTGAGGCGAGACTTTCTCCAGCATCTTTCCAAACATTCAATCGCAACGAGTACTGCACTTTCAGCGACTTCACAGTTTTCCCCAACGTTGAGGTTTAGACGCGCCACGGGAGTACCCCGTAAAAAATAAATCAACCTCGTATAACAAATCCCCGAGCGATCGATCGGCTTAAGTTCAGTTTGATAGCGTGTGCAATTAAAAATATAAGCAATGCAGGCCACTAGGTTGGAATGGATCTATATCTACTTTGATAATATAGGAGCCAAGTTTTTTTTTATATCCAGGACAAAAAATAGTCGTCACAGTGACCCTCATTTGTAAAGACCCTGAACTTACGTAGGATATGTACTCATGGGTTCGTGGAAAATCACATCGTTATATACTGTATAAGCAGAATACAAATATTTCTAACATGTAACAAAATGTTGGTCATCTTTTTTAATACTGTCCTCAAAAATCTGCTAATAGGTGTCGTTTGTACCCAATTTGGATCAGCTGCAATGACTTAAATTACACTCGGATGTCTCGCATTGCCGAAATCATTCATGTATTGGTACCCACCGGCAAACATGAGCACAATAAACACCTGCTATGTACACCTTCCTTCATCCATGACACTACATACAGGGGCAGTCAGATTTGAGAACTTAAATTAGTAACTCGTACTTTCATTAAAAATAGTGGAGAGGGATTTTAATAATAATGTATTTCATATTATAGGATTAACACGCGAGAGGAAAGGGATTCAAAATAAGCCAAGCATTAGTTTGTTACATTGTTAGAACCTCGCTCTCAAAACTTTAAACCAACCATAAAACCCATTTCAGTTTCGTACTGTATTCATAAAATGTTGCGAATTCTTTGTACAAGCTACAAATATGTAAAAAAAGTTAAGTGCTAACGATTTGGTTCTTTTTAGTCAGTTTAAAATACACAGATTACGTACGTATAAAACTCTAGCAAGTAGTTGTGAGCACAGACATCGCGACACCCAGGGAGTGAGACAGGTGTTGCCGGGAAAGCCAGAAACGCAAGTTTCCCCGTATCAAACTTATACCGTATTCTCTGGATAAGCACATTTTTTTACCCTGTATTTTAAATCAAAAGCTGCGTGTGTAAACATTAGAATAACTTTATTCTATTAGTAAGTTTGGAATGTGTCCCAACTTATCGGAGCATCTTCTAATCCAGAGAATACAGTAACACGTCTGGGCACAAGATCAAAACTCTCAATGCAAGGGCTAGAGTTGGAGGACTAATTGGCCATACACAACTGATGACAGTTTTGGTCAAATTATAAAGGCTATTGCCCATCTGCATGTGCCTTGAAGGACCACTGCTAGGATAAATGCCTATTGTGTATTTTCCTTTATGCCAGAGGTGTTGACGAATGGATCTCCTTTGTTGTGGGCCACTGCCAACTGCAGCACCTAATATTTTACCGAAATGTTTTCTTGGTTTTTCCCTTTCTTAAATAAACTTCACCCGTTATATATTATTGTATAGGAATTTGCGCAAATTAGTTTTGCGGCAATTCGGCGGGGGAACAGTGGTGTGGTGGTTGGCACACCACGCTGCGAACCTGGCGAGCTGCCTTCGATTCCCATCTGTGGCTAACATCGTGACGTGTGACACGGGTCCTGGGCCTCCCAACTTTTTCAACGTGAACCGTAGCCCGAGTGCCGAAGTACGGCCAAACAATCCGCAAGACCAACAACAGTGGCGGAGGGGACTTTACCCAGCAGTGGATTTATACTGGGCTACAATTGTTCTTGCATAATTATTTTCTCACGTTTTTCAAACTTAAACGCATCCGTCCCTCCTAATGAGCCATGGAGGTTGGGCATGAGACCGGTGCAGTGAATTGTTGTGCGTTATACAGCAGACAGATCATGTGCCCTTTGTAGCTTCTTCAGCACGTCGGCCCTTCATGATGTGACTGAATCAACACTCTACAGCTTAAAAGGTCGCGGTATGATGCCGGGTTTCCCCCCTGACGCAAGTTAAGTATGCTGCGTCAGACAGCAGAATTTCTTACGTCTCCCCTGCAAAGAGAAACACAAATGCACCGTTATAAATCGACTGTGTTGTGCATTGTATAGACAGACGCGATAATGTCTACACTGCAAGGAACAAAGTCCAGCAGGAGTGATTTCTTTATATACAAGAACATATGTAAAAAAGGTTAAGCAATGCAAAATGGCAAATTGAATGACTATACCATACTAGTTGATCCAACACAATGGAAGATGTATGAAACCATAACTTAAAAATGTATAACGATTATAGATAAAACAGCATCATCACGACTTGAGCAATACTGCATTTGCATTTTGTAAACGGAAGCTCAGCATAAGACATTAAAAAAAACCAGCAAGCCGCGTGCGTGAAGTGTACGTAAATACAAGCATTAATTTAATTACTTGGGCAACATCCCCGAAACTAATTTTAATTCAAAATAACACAGTGCTAAGTTGTCAAATCGGCAGCAATTTAAGAGAACTCTACAGAGAGAAAAAAACCGCACTACGGAAAACTATTTATATACTTCTAAAAAGGGGAAAAGCAGGATGCGATTAATTAGCTGAGTAAGTGTGATGTGATGTACTTGACAAGGTTACCTGATATGGCCAGGCTGACTCTGCAAGTTGTCATGTGAAAGTTATTCGAGGCTGGCTGGCCCTGCATTAATAGCTCTCCCAGGGGAAAAGAGCCTTCGTGATACATAAAGGTGTTGATGAGCATCCGAACTGAAAGAGTAATTATTTAAACGTTACAGCGTAGTTAAGACAATGACTTGGTCACAGGTTAATAATGTCAACAGTTGGCGGTTGGTGTGTGCCAAAGAATGTCAGGATGGTTTAAAATATTTTTGACGATTGTGAAATCAGGTTTTATTTAAACAATGTTATTCATTTAAGCAAGGTTTTTGTTCTTCATTTACATATCTTTTCAGAGAAATGGTAGCAATTTATGCAATTTTCATTTGTGAATAACACCATTTACAACAGACACCATGTGGTGTATCCATTAAAGACCAGGCACTACTGTCCATCTTGTGTATTTGTTGGGTAATGACAGAGGTGGCTATTTATATTATGGGATTATTAAGTACACAAGTAATCATGGATTTACAAATTGCATGTGTATACACATGAACAAAATAAGCATTTTGTAAATGTGGTATTATTACATTTTATTACCAGTGACACGGGAAGTTTCATGTGGTTGTGGTTCACGCAAATGCTTTTAACATTATAACAACATTCTAATTGTGGCACACACATTACCAACTACAATGGTTTCAAGGACTCACAAAGTTTTATTGCAATTTAAAATTAATAATTGAACAGCGAGAGAGTTACATTTTCTTGTATATATTTTAAAGTTTATTAATGAAGTTCAGCAACATCAATGCAACATCTATTTGGGTTTGAGCTTTGTCAGAAATGATTGTGTCAATGTTATTGTTTAAGCAGGGTTTTAACAAATACTGAGCACATAGTTTCAAAGTGTGTTTTTTGGCCCTGCATTACTATCCTTGATATTTATTAGACAACCAACCACGTATTTTCACACGTTAATACTTATTTTATGTTTAAATGACAAAATACCATAAGAAAATGCATGTTCTTACAACATGCAAAACATCAAAAGGATAATAACAATGTCAAGGGTCCGATGCAGTGTAAATCATTAAGCAAAGGGATCACAATTATTAAAAAGGTAACCGAAAGCAACAAAGCCTACGTACTCAAAAAGAAAAAGCTATCGTTTACAATCAATGTTGCTTCATGATCCTATAGCTCAGACTAGCTCATGTTATTTACGTAATAAAAAAAAAACTAATAAAAATAATCAATTACGACTTGCAGCGATACTTTTGCGTCGCTGGCAGGGACCATCATGACGCTCAAACAAAAGAGGAGTTGGGAGGGGGGGGGGGGGCGGAGGAAAAATAATTCACGATTCTCAAATCAAATGCAGTGTGTGGTGGGGGGAAGATGGCGGATTACTTGTACACAACACGCGCACGCCACGGTGCGGGCACGGACAAGGGAGGAGTAGCGGCTGTCTGGAGGAGTGACGCTGAAAATGGGGAGCGAGCGGGGTCTGTGTAAGGCAGGGGGTAGCGGAACCCTTTTCCTTACCGAAGGCATGGGGCGAGTGGGGGACTTTAAAATAACTTAGGCAGGCCACACAACACGACGCAATCCTAGCGTTATCCAAGAATATATTTTTTTTTATTATCAGGGGGCTCAGTGCTATCGCACTGCTTGCGATGCATGGTGCGCCTCCCTATTTACCCTCGTTAACACGCGTTTTACTGGATTCTCAGCTCCGAAGTAGACGCACCAGCCATGATCCTTCGCAGCGACGGTTAAAATTTCACGCTGAAGAGGTAGGCCAGCCTCATGTGACCACCGGATGTACGAAATTAAGTTTGCGGTTTGTATCTGGCAATTGGGGTGTAGTTTCCCCACCCCTGATATCAGGGTTGGTGTAGCGGAGTTGGATGTTGTGGCAGGCAGGGGGGAAGCAGGTAGGGCATAGCAGGTTTGTGTAGAGAAGGTAGTGGTGGAAGGGCAGGAGTGGGTGAGGAGTGGGTGAGTAGTGTGTGAGCTCCCGGGCGGCTGGCTTTCCCCCGGTTGAGCTAGTACCGGCCATACGGGTGTTCGCGGTAAGAGTACCGCATCGCGCGGGACGACGAAGTCTTCAGCCGATTGTTAGAGCCTCCAGACTTCTCCTCTTGCCCTGATGGTTGTGAGACAGGGGGCAGGCAGAGATGGAAAAAATGGGGGGGGGGGGGGGGGTCACACAAGTGACGGGAACCAAGCAGGCGCTCGGTTGACAAGATTTATATTTTACACATCAGGATTGGTTTAGTCCACCGCTCATGGTTTGGGCCGCAGAGGAATGAATCGTATCATAAAAAAACTATTATTTTAACACTCGATACTGGTTACCCACCAAGGTTATAGGAACATCTTGCCTTTACTTAAAAACAGATGAACTCGTGAATATGGGAGGAACCCGATGCCTTTTGTTTTGTTTGATGCACCCCATTGGCATACATTAGTTTTCAAAGCACATTGCTTTTGCAGTAAAAGTTTACAGTCAATGTTGATATAAAAAAATGCATTCCTTAGCCTTTTACAACTGTACGATGTGTTTCGCATAAACTGGAAAAAATTAAGCTGCATTGGCAGTTGTGCACAAGCACTAATACTCGCCAACATTCGTCATTAACACCCGTTTATGGCAAGCAATATTTACCGTATTCTCCGGATTATAAGATGAATTCCCCCTCTTTATTACAACATAAAAGTTGGTTGTCAGTCTTATAATCCTCTAGGTGCGTGTGTGATCAGATTTATCCAATTTTATTAACACCGGGCACCAGTTCGGGGTACGAATCACTTTCAGGAGCATCTTATAATCTGGAAATTACGGTAAAAGAAAACGGCCCTTTAAACTGTGAACAAGGACCATACCAACCCGGAGAGAAATCAAGTGTTCAAATATTAGCTGGATGTTTTCTGTTACAGAATGGCGTTAATGTTAAATGCAATTAGTTTTTCTCCTTTTCTTCATTTTTGTAAAAGGATATAAATGTCAACTATGAAAAAAAAATCTCCGCTTCTTCTTGTGAAAACGACAGATGTTTTCACGTAAAAAAAAAAAACCCTTACAAAATAAAACCCAAGACGCGTTACTCCTGCAAATACGACAAGGCCAAGAAAGCAAGGCCATTTACAGGACATAGCAAATTCCATCGCGACACCCCGGGGGGAGGGCGGCCAAGGGAAATCTACGCAAACACTAGCTGGCAACGAAAACGCCGCAGTAAAAAAATGGGTGTTGCGAGTGGCGCCACAGCTTAATCACACAAATGAATTGCTTAAAGCAAAAGTGGCACAATGGTGAAAGCGTGCAGACTTGACATTGCACAATTACACGCACATTTTAATTTGCGCATAAAATTAACCACCACTTGAGATATTCATTCGGCAAACGTACGTCCCAAGATCCCAATTTACATTGATACCCGGGCTCTACTGATCGCTCTCAAGGGGCTACACACTTTATTTTCCATTTAAAAATTTCCACACTGGTCAACTCAAATGTACTTGGTGTAAAACCCGCATACAGCGAGCTCTTGCCAAGAACTGTCTGGGCCAGGGGATTTGTCTGATATGCGTAACAGGAGCGGACTCATCTTCTCATGGGATAATCGAATTTCCAATCCATAAATTCAGCAAAATATTAAGGATCACTGAAACAGGGGAGCTCAAGATACCCAAAGGGTCTGGTGTCACAACAGCTTGAAGGGTTTCTTTAAATGTTACCATTAACGATACAGCTTTCCTCCTACAAGACACGAACCATCAATGTACAATGCGAGTTTATGACGAGTATTTACAAGTAAGCACTACATGTACAACTCTGGGGAGACAAACACCACCTCCAAAATTACCAAGCCCTGGAAGCGAGTGAATGTTTGGTTTAAAACGAACACACCGCAACAGTAATGTCCAGATCATGCAAGCAAAGCAACAACTCCGCATGCATGGCAACCACACTCAAGTTAAATCCGTTCCGCCTTTCAAAATGCAAACTGAAAAAAAAAAACTGAAACACCAAGAGACGACACAGGCGGGGGAGGAAGTCGAGTGTTTCCGTGGATTTCTATTGGCCCTGACGGATCGTCGTAGGAAATCAAACGTGAAGTGGCGAAGGACATCGGGGGCGTCACCGTCTTTTAAAACACCGAAATAAAAACGATTACAGAGAAAGCTTTCCGCTTACCGTAACCAGTGTACGCCTCCGCGGTCGATCCGTGACCATAGTCGTAACTTTCTACACCGCTGCAAAATACGCAGAAATATTGAAATTTGATTTGCGAAGGCGAACACGAGACAAACGAGAGGGCAGGGGGGTGGAGAGGTGGGGGAAGCAAAAAAAAAAGTGAAATAAAAAAAACCCAAAGCACAGAAAGGACTTTTGTAACAGCAGGAATTGTCACGTTTTTGGAACAGACGGCTATCAGCGAGCCACTCGGGTTGCAGAGGCAGAACACCAATAGACTTCCACGGAAACATTCGTAACATTTGGGTTATTTTTTTTAACTGAGCACCCTATGGGTTGGGTACATTAATGCAAGAACGCAAGGTACCGTAGCAGTCGCTAGATCAAAACGTTTGTTTTTAGCTTTCATGGTCATACATCAATAACGTGGCAGGAAGATAAAATGGGAAACTGACAAAACACGTAACACGATGCTTGGAGTTTGCGGGATATGAGGGTCAAATCATTGAGCCAACACACTATGGGTTTGAATATCACATTTCAGCCACCCACGCTAAAAACGGATTCTTTTCTAGTTGATGGTTTGAGCCGTCACAAATGATTGGCAAGCACAGAAAGTGCATATATCTGTAATGTCACTTAACCCACACCACGTAGGTTTATATCGTGCCTTGCCAGCAGTGAGCCATAAGAACACATCGTCATGTTCTCACAGTGCACCTAGCCTGGTACAAGCGCTGTGATGTAGCAAATGGAACCTGTTGTTGTGTTTGTGTCTTTATGTATATCTCTGTCCATGTCTGTGCATCCATTCTTCAGCCACCCGTGATTAAACCTGGGTCAACTGGAGCGAGGAGATAGTTTCCTCCTAGTCAGCAGTGACAACAAGCACATAATTTTTCATCCACTTAATTTGGCTTATTCCTACAAAACACGTGGAGACTTATTCGGCTGGCGGATGGCCGCTAGTAGCGCGATCGGAATTGGGGAAAGAAAAACATATTTGATGAACACGAGTCGAGACACTGGTTCATGTAAACAAAGCGGCATGACTGGACATTCTATACTGTCACTACCATGGAAACAAATTACTCTTTCAACTGAACCACAACCTCCAAAACCATGGCAATTCAATTCATTAATATCTATAGGAATCAGAGCGAATACATTTATGTGGTGCAGTGTTAAAAAAAAGACATCTTACTCCTCAGCCACCATATCTGCACAAACCCCAAAGGGATAATTGTACACCAGTGTTCTTCATTGCAAGGCCCACGGGCCACTGCCGGCCCCTGGTGGCCTTCAGTGCAGAATCCGACAAAACACAAACATTTGAAAGGACCACTTTTGCAGGTGGTTTGGGGCCTGCACACTGATGTCTTATCGGTGAAAGTTCCCCCACACCAAACCTCTGAAAATTGAAGACCGATGTACAAGGTGGTTGTGCTCAAGCACTGGTCTGGTGCACACGCAAGGATGGGGGGGGGGGGGCGAACTTACCTTAGTGCGGCAGGCAACTCGTAATCGTAGGCGTCGAACGTTGGCAAGGAGGAGTAATCGTAAGTCTCGTATCCATGGCTTTCATACGGTGAACTGGAATAGCTGTCATCGTAGGCCTTGAGGAGTAAACGCACGCAAGGTAAGAGTCAGGTCCAACTAAAAATAAAATTAATCAGCTCTTTGCCTGCTCCAGTAAAAACCTTGGCAGATGCCCAAGCGCCTTAGCGAAAGACGCAACCCAAATAAACAAATACTTATCCAGGAGATAAGTACCTAGGCTTTGTGGTTCCGGGATGTCAGACACTAATTTGAAGGTTCAAGCAAATATATTTATAATGAATTACGGTCAGGAATCGTCATCGCGTTTGTGGCATTAATGTCATGTTGAAAGATATGGTTGACATCGATGTCGCTTGCTTCTGGACGATAGCCTAGGTACATATCCAGCAGAGCTATGATGAATTTGGATCGGTATATATTTTTAAAATGCTATGAACCATGTTCATGAATATATGCACCTACTGAAGAAAAGTTAAATTGTCTCTTCCGAGGCCAGCTTTCTTACTCGCATTAAAGGTGGCAAAAATATTAACATGTGGAATTGTATAACACAGACAATGCAAATAATGAGGGACGCCCTTTCAGAGGTTTCAAATTAAATGCAGCAGCAGCCACGTCTACAGATTTGTAATATACTCGAAATAACGTAGCTAAACATTTTGCGGTCATCCCTTTAAATGCGATGTCTCGAGCTCCACAGCACAATCGCCTCGAAGGAGGTTCAAGTGTCAGAAGACTATGGGGGTGCGATTCAACAGACAATAATTTGAGCATAGATTGGTTTTAAAAATATATTTTTATTGCAAAAACAATGACCATGCACATTTGCATAGAGACGAACACTGCAATTATATAACAAAATGTTACGTCGCCTTGTTCTTAAAAAGAGGCCGCACCGATTCTTGTGGACAATTGTGACCAAAATAAAACGTACTACAAACGTCCTGATAAAAAAAGGTGGGATTGGTTTAAACATTTACAGGTATCACGTTATGTCAAATTGACATACGAATGTTCAACGACGTGGACTTATCAACTCTTGCAAGTAAGCTTGCTTAACCCTCAACCAGAACTAGGAGTAATCAAGCCCCAAGCGTTCACTTCGTGCACGAGGTGCAAAGTGGAGCTGGAACCAAATATGGGGTGGGTGCTGTCCCACTGTGCCCAAAGACCTTTTAATCCACACAGATCGAGCACCAAACTATTAAAACTGACACACAAAAAACACTTTCCAACACCAAACTATGAAAACTCACAAAACACACTTTCCAACAACTTTTACTTATTGTTATGCATATACGTATTTGACGACTAAAATTGACTGCTACAAATCGAAATGTTACCATTCAAAGAACTCCATAAAAGACATCAATGTGAACGTTTTCGGCCAAACCAACATATTTTACTTGAGCCAACTAAGATGGCTGACTGAAGTCTCTGGAGGTTAATGTTGCCATGGTGACTAATTTCTTCAAGTAGCTAACTCCCCAGATTATTTCCCCCCCATCGCACTCCCACTGCGAGTTATGTCCTTGTGACTGCCGGCAAAAAACACATTTTTCAGTGATTCATGAAACAAAGCAGTGGAAATGCTCTTCATGCAAGGTAAACAGGTTTTGGCAAGACTGTGCCAATTGCCATACTTCCTGGCTCAAGTAAGCCTACCCAGAGATATAAGGTGAATGTACGATTGCGGTGTTTGCCAGAGCGCAAATTTAAATTGCTTCACTTAATTGAGCCTAATATTCTAAATTTTTTTCAAAAGGACAAAACATCTATTGGTGTTGGGGAAGTTCAGCTTTCCTATTGTTGTATCAAGTAAGGTAGCAGTGTTGTATGCAAGTGCTTTTATCCTAGCCAGCCGATCATATATAAGAAATAAAAACACTGCTCAATTACCCACTCCAACAACACACAATGTTCATGCGTCCTCTGTAAACGGTTCTGCGTGCTAATACAGAAGCACTGTCAGGCAGCTGGAACCTCACACCATGCCCGTTAGCCAAATGAGCCACCCCTGTTGTTGCTTGGGGTTTCACGAGTATTAAAACAGCATCTATCCACGGAGAAAAACTAAGCCGACTCATCTGCCTACTCGGTTGGGGATCAGGTTATAGCCCTGGCAGGGCCACACCAAGTGAAGTCTTAGACAGGATACCAGCCATGCCACGGAAAACGGCGCCTGAACGTGGTAGTCATGTTCCCCCAAGTGTTGGTAATCCTCACCCAGCACCCCCCGACTATTAACGAACCACCCGTGTAATCGCACGCAGTGCAAGCCAGCGGACTTCGCACACGACCGTAGTGAAAAGCAACAGAATAGCAATAATAAACAAATAAATAGTCCTTTCAAATTTAAATCCATTGATCATTTCGTGGTGGAGTGCAAAGTGCGCTCTGGCAGTGCGTGAAAGAACAAATAATAGAAACGACACGCTAACCGAAGCAACGCGGCTGCCAGGTCCATACGGCACGATACCGCCTGGGCTCGTGGCCCGCGGGGGACCCCACTTGAGCGCTGGTCCCTGCTAACGACTCACACAGTCCTGGTAGGACTCCTGGCCATGCTGCTGCCGGGGGGTGTACAGGCGTGCCCTCTGTGTGGTGGGTGCCTGTCGGGAGCTAGGCACCTGGGAAGGGGTGGACGCGATGGGACCCGAAGTGGCACCGCCCGCATTTCCTCTCCCACGAGTTGGCGGCGCCTGGGCGTACACGCGAGCGTATAAAAAAATCTGCTCTGCGTCCTAGCAAAGCCCCCACTCAAGCATTATGACCACCAGGCTATCCAGTCCCTCGCCAGTTAGGCTTTGCAGTACCCAACAAAACAATGCAGTTTTAATTCACCTGCCCAAATGTCAGTGGAGATATGCTCCGTCATTTTCCCCCAATCCAATGTCGAGCATTCTTGTGCATCCAAGCTTATAATCAACTGGAGAAAAAAAAAAACCTCACAAGCCCCCTCCAATCCCAAAACTCAAGGAAGGCCCATGCCACAACCCACACACACCTTAATAATTTCCGTGATGCCCAAGTCCCGTGTGTGTGCATGTATAATTGTACAAGGCGTTTTAACTTACCCCCCTCGAAGCACCCCTGGCGGCACCTCGTCCGATGGGTCTGCGTGCACTCATTCCGCCACGTTCCACGGGCCCCCCGGGTCCCCCGCGCCCTCGCGGGACCCCCCTGGGGGATGCGACTCCACGTGACCCCCCCTGTGGCCCACGCAGCAACGGGGGGCCCACACCACGGCCCCTGCAGAGACGGGGAAAGTTCCGACGTTCACGCAGGGATCCAAGTAGCAGTGGCTACACGCTGTGTGCCCCACATTGCAGGCAGGGAGATACCCGGGCATTGTTTATGGGGGAAAATTAAACTAGTGATTTGAGCTGCATTAACTGCAATGAGTGCACTACAAGTGTGAATGGTGTTAAAAGCCATTATTAAAGATGAAACCTGAAAAAAATCAAAGCTCTTGATGCTGTATCATCAAGAGCTGTACTGCACACCCAAAGCTACCTGTTAAAGCTTTGTGAATGAGAAATATTGATCTGAAGTTTTCGTGACTGCAGGAATCCAGACTCTTTGGTTCTTTCGGTAAAGTCACGTAGGTATAATATAAAATAAATCACTTTCCGATCGCAACACAAGCGACCGTCATCAGGTGGAAGAGATGGTGTCCGATACAAGGTCCATGTTGTCCCGATTGGCAAAATAGTCATAAAATATTGTCATTGTGAATTATTGTTGCTCATTAATGTTTCTAATATTTCATTTCCTGACAAAACATTTGTGAAATGACTGCTCTGTTAAACGTAAGTGATGACATTACAATTTATGATGTAATTTTCCCACAGCAAGTGCGTAACAGATTGTAAAAATTGCAATGATCAAAAGACACTTATCGCAAGTTAAACTGCAGTTGAATCTTTTGATTTAAAGCTTTCGTGACTGCAGTGATTCATATTCTTGGTTCTTTCGGTAAAGTCACGTTGAAGGGAAACAATAAAATATATTATTATTATTTTATTGTTTCCCTTCAACGTGACTTTACCGAAAGTGACTTTACCGAAAGAACCAAGAATATGCAGTTTAATCTTTTACGCCATCTTTTTTTTACGTAAAATTACAAAAAAACAGGACGATAGAGACGTAACAGACACAAAGTTGCAGGAAACTTTATATGTATTGCGTGATAACCGTTGTGATCGTGAAATGTAATAAGGCAACGTGATAAATCACATTGCGGAAATCATAGTAACGTGACTTGGAGGTGTAGAGGCGTCACGGCAGCCATGCACATGGGCGGTAAGGGGTACCTTATGAGCGCAGGAGCGCCGGGAGGAGGCGGGGGAATGCCGCGGCCCCTCATGGCACGGCCACGCGCTACCACGGGCACCTCCACGCCATTCAGGTATGTCATTTCCATCAGCTGCTCCTGGCAGATTTCATCGTTGTAATCCTGGTGTAGACGGGTAGGAGAGAAGGCAAGAGCAGGGAAAACTTAAATTTATGGTCTCGGCCTGGTCACTAGTTACTACACAAAAAAACTTCATGTTAAAATAGTTTTTTCCCCAATCAATTCAGCCTATGCAATCTCTGAGAATTAAAACCTTTTCCATTCCATAAAGGAGCTATCGAGGTGATTTCACAAATAGTTTTGCAATGTCATCTTTCGAGGACGTTATCTTACACTGCTCGGTGTGAGAAGAGATGTGAACAGGAAGTTTCGCAGCCATTCGGCCACGTAATCATATTGCCAAATTTGTGTTGTTAGAACCAAAATAAAACTGTCGCATATGCAAGCATTTAACGTGTCAATTATTATAGTTTCAGCTCAAAGGTATATCTAAAAACCTGTCACAACCAAATATATCAATATGCGGTCTAAACCAAAAATAAATCATGAATCAGGAATTTCACTGTAATATGAGACGAAGCAGACAACACGATCACAGCACGTTTGATTAAAAAAAGTTTGGAGAAAAAAAAGTTTGAAGAAATGTAACGATTAAATGTGCACTGCTGCGCTGGGACTTCATACCGGGTTGAAGAACTTCTTGACCTCTTCGAGAGCGTGCCCCATGCGGCTGTAGGCTTCAGGGAGGGGTGCGTACACTTCAATGAGCACGTGCAGCTCTTCATTCAAGTGAACGTACTTGGCCTCGCCGCTGTTTCGGAGCTCCTCTTCCTGTAGTCACAACGAAGAACAACGGAGGCCACGTGGCAATTTCCCTCTGCACTATTCAATCGGAACAGTACAACAGCCCCACTCGTTAACTAAGAAATTACAGGCAAGATTAACAATACTATCAAACCTTTGCAATTTTGAATGTGCCTCAACGTTCATAACTTATGTACCAATATTAAATACCAAATTCAGAATCGTTCTTTCTCCCAAAATGCTCCTAGTCAATGCAAAGAATTGCTTTTAGTTAAGACAAATAAATTATCTTCCCTCCCTGTCAATATCTAACCAGCAACTGGACCCACTACTTGGTCAATATGAACATAAATGCTTTTGAACTAAATATCATATCTCTTTGGAACCTAAGGTACCCTTTTATTTAAAACTTTATAGAAAATTGTTGTTAAATGTGCTTCATAGTCGTAGTTTTTACTACAGCTGAATATTTCAACGCTGCACACTGCTGTTTGATCTTAACACAAAGTTGATGTCTTCTGCTTTCGTGACCCAGGTATGGGGTGAAAGGGAAATTTGTCTTAAAAAATCTCACGCCTGTATCGTATACGACGATTATATGAACCAAATAAATGCCAATGTAAAATTACATAAAATTGCACCCTTTCACGAACCCGAGTGCTCGGAGATGAACGTGCTGAGGTACGCACCTTGGCTCTGTCCTTCATGCACCCCTTGCCCATGATGGCCATCCTGGTGCCCGTCTCAACTTGCAGTCGTTTCAACGTGTTCCCTTGTGGGCCAAGCAGTTTCCCCACGAAGTTGAACTGCAAGCAGAGGGAGAATAAAAAAAATATTTATTTAGAATGGAGAATCCGATGAGATACGAAGCTCTTTTTCACACATGTCCAGTCGGGGCATGGGGTCAGCAAGTTACAACTTTCCTTCCCACACATCCGATTAGCACAGTTGGCTACGTATGCTGGGAAAGACGTTCAATATACACACGTACATGGGATTGTCTCCGAGGGAGTTAAATGGGAGCCATAAAGCAATATGTTTATCTTCCTTAGGTGACAAATTCGCATCACTGCTCTCCTGCTACAAGCATAATTATAAACACAGTACTTGGGATGGCATTATTTGCGCAATGGAAGCGCTTCTCGAATTTGAGTTCGCTATTTGTTTCCTCAGTTTTGTCTACGCTCGTCTCAAAAAAGTTACAGGCAGGTCAGTGGTACAGCGAGTGGATTTAAATCAGAAGGTTGCAAGTAAAAAATCCTGGCTGGGGTTCACCCAATGCCATCATCCCCGTGGGCTCAAAAAAGACCAAACACCACTGTGGAGAAATCCAGTGGTTGTCCTCGAAATGCAGATTCCCCCACAGAATACGGGCTATGAACAGCACACGAGCACCACCTTAATAATGCTCATTCAAGCAGGAATTCACACAGAGTGTTGAACAAGTGCTATATTAAACAATTAACAGCAGTCTGCACTAATCCTGAAAAATATACACGATGATTATTACCTTCGGGTGCTGCTTAGCCGGGATGAGGACCTTCTCCGCCAACTTGAAATTCTGCTCGCCAATTATGTTCCGATATTTCTTGTCATCGTCTTTCTTGTCGTCGCCCCCGTTTTGCAGACGTGATATTTCTGCGATGAGAACAAAATTAAGGTTAACAAGTTAATATGCACTCATTTGCATACATATGAATGAGCGGGCATGCTTCTGAATGTATGCTATGGATTTAGGTTGGCAGCTGTAGAAAAGTGACATACACTGTTAATTCATAAGCTATGGTGGTGTTTGGTTAACTTAAAAAAAAACTAAAGGTTTTAGAATGGAGAATCCGATGAGATATGAAGGTTTTATTTTTGACTGGCTTCACACTGCATTAGCGTTGTCATTTAAACTAAACATAACGGATGTCCCAACAACAATGCTCTGGTTCAAGTCCTCCTTCGCTAATACAAAAATACTTCCTGTACAGGTGTGACAATTGTTGCCAAAATGCCAAGTGTGAAAATTCTTAAAAAATTTTAGACTAGCAAGAACACATCTACTCAAACCACCTTATTTGATACTTATTGAATTGATATATTTCCGTATAAAAGTTCGTGACGTACAACAATCACGTGTACACGTCTTGTACACGTGATTGTTGTACTAAACGTGGCTTCATGACAAGACTCAAAAAGGAGAATGAAATTGCGATAAGCACACGCGCATCAAGGGCGACCGCTTTCTCAACTACGATCAAGGCGCTTTCCACTGTTGTTCGCAATTTTACATTTAGCCAAGGCTAATTATCAAACCGCAAGACAGGATTTCTCCATAACTCTGGCTATCGCCTGATGATGCTAGTTGTAATTACCGGCAAAACGTCACGGAACTCTAGTTGCAGATGTTGTGGATTTACTCAACACACAAGTGGTGTGCAGAACTGGTAACGAATTGGCACGTTTTGTTTACGTGACAAACCTTACTAAATGGCCATGTTGTGTGGGTGGGTTTAACGACGCATTTATATTTACACAATCTAACCCAAAAACTTCTATTGACATTACTAGCAATTTCGTATACCTGCCAACCCATACGGTTTACCCATAATCTTGTACAGGGAAATTGCCTTTTCAGGTCCGATTCAATATGGGCAATTTGTTTTTGTCTAGTTATGTCTTCGCTTGTGATGGGACTTTGTAAGATGAACGTTGAGATTTATAAGGGCACGGGGTGACCAATAAGGTCTGAATTGGTTTGTAAGAAGGTAGGCCCTGATAAGCGGTTTATAGGTACGTATTCGTCACTATCCGCGCCGAAATGCAATTAAATACTAAATGTATAAAAAAAATGCAGCCTGCCACCACATGCTTTGTAAGCCTTACTATTTGCTTCGTATAGACGCTGGCCAAAACACAGTGAAACATTGTTCTCAAAGTGTTAAATACCACAACTTAGTGCGTGTCATGCACTGAGAAAAAAAGTTTCAACTGTACTAGGATACAAATCGGCGTCGTGCATGTTTTGACTGTTAAACCAGATGTTTTAAGAAATATAAAGCGCAGATCATTGTTATTCTTTTCATCGACGTGGGTTTATAGAAAATAAGCGATTCAAACTGTTTGACCGAGCAAACGGGGTCGTTGAAAAAAAATCAGCACCATACCTGTCAACCCCAAATCAGTTCCTACTTTATTACAGACCTATTCAGACCTTATTGGTCACCCCGTGCCCTTATACATTTCAACGTTCACCCTACAAAGTCCAATCACAAGGGAGAAACACAAAGTCAAAAACATGCTTTTGCCCGTATTAAAACGGTTGACCCCGCGTATGGACCTGAAAACTCAATTTCCCTGCACAAGAATACGGAGTAAACAGTATGGAGTTGACAGCTATGCAACACGCTCACTAAACAGTATTGTTGCCGTGGATTGTGAGCGTAATTACAATGAGCTAATAATGTTTGTGTCCCGCGCGTGACGTCACTCAACATGCCGTCATTAATATTCATGAGCGGGTGGATTTTTACACTCACACAGAAGACGGTGGAGCGAATTTTTTTCGCAAATTCGCGTTAAGTTTGACGTTTCTTTACTGAAAGTGAATCTAATATTATACGCAGCAACAAATTGTTTTTTTGTGTCTTTGTTGATTTCTTTAGCACTTGAGACAAAAGGTAAGTCTAATTTACACTTCTACACTATGGTAAAATAGTCACTTCTCGGTGATTTTCCAGATATTGTATCGAATTCCAATTTATTTCAACCACAGCGACCGAAAGCAGAAGAGAATAAATGATCAGAATAGTGAATTTGAACAAACTAAAGGTCAGTTACATAGTGCTAGTGACATGAAGTGAAGCGTTTTATGACTTCGTTTTGTGGCGGATTCACTGCCATTAATAGTGCTACAGTGAAATGCAGTGAAGTGTTTGATAACATACTTTTTGTGCAAGATTCACTGCCATTAAATTTACACGAGATTTAAATTATACTCTGCTCAATTTTTTCGGAAATATTACAGCTTCCGCCCTAGGACGGGCCAAGAAGCTAGCACATATATAATCACTGTAATAAATTATTTCATTGGTACACATGCGAAGGAAAAAAACGACTTAATAAAATGCCATTCTGTATTTTGAAGGAAAAAAGGCAACAACGCGTTGTACTGTACTGCTTTTTTTTCTATAACAGAGGCCCCAGATTGCACATGGTGGTCCAATTGTCTTGCGACCCCCCCCCCTCCCCCCAGAACGAATTGATCCGAACATGTCCCCTTTGAAAATGTATTTACGTTTTAAATAGGTATTTTAAAAATACTAAGTTTAAATAAAGATTCTGCTTCATCGGGACCACTCTGCATATATATGCAGCGCTCCTTGCCAAGTCTATTCTTGCGTATGGCAAAATGTTCAGGAGCAAAATGCCAATATCTGCTTGGCACGACGACAGCGCTTCAGGATAAGAAAAGTTCGTGAAGTTTTCACGTAACTACTACTCCTCCTGCGTAAGAAGGAGCGCAGACTTTGGCCAAAGACATCTGGCAAAAACGCCATCCAGAGAAATGTTGTTCATCAACCCCGAACGACTAGACAGATTAAAAAATAAATATAACACGTCGGGGGGCTGGAAAGCCGATAACTGCTGAACAAAAAACAATTGGGTGAAGTTACAGAACGGAGTCGTTCTTATTCGATCTCTTAATTTAATGTTTTAACGGCGTAAAAATGAATAAACCCATCATCATCCACTTTACAATGGATGCGGCCTGTGTCACCACCACCATTGTAGCTCGCAACACGCCCGGCTCCACAAGTCACCGCTCCCCCCCCCCCCCCCACAAGCAGCAGCAGCCGCGCGGACTCTCGGCGCCACCAAAATAAGCACCCAACATTCCCTAAAAAAAACCCCACAACCATAACAACAACAAAATAATATATCGTTCGTTTAATACGTTTCACTGTACTATATCCGTTGTGGGGTTTTTTTCTTTTCCCGCCACGCGCGGCCTGTCGAGGCCTAGCGGAGCCTTCTCGCACCTGCGCCCAGCAGCCGCATGGCCTGCACGAAGGACGGGTCGAGGCTGTCCTTTTCCGCCACCAACTCGGGGATGTAGACGGAGCCGGACGACATCGCGCTTGCAAAAAAAATATATATAAAAGCGGCAGGCTGGAGAGACGCGGAACGAGAGCAACGTCGACGTTTAAAAATACTTTGTTTTTTTTTGAGTCCACGCTATGAGGAGAAAAAAACCACTCCGCGTTCGAGAGGCTCAGCACCGACCGCACCACCGCCAAACGCGCTCGACTCCTTTTTCTCTCTCCACCCCCCCACCCCACCACGCAACCACGCTACGCTTTTAAAACGTGTGTCACTCCGCGCCGAGGTAAAATAGCGCGCGGTTGGAACGACGCGCGGGAGCGCTGCAGTCGAACCCGATTCGCGACTTGCTTACAAATGAAAAAAAGAGGGGGGGTGGGGCGGGATTCGACGATTAATTATGTACGTTTTCGTTGGCGAGTACAGTACGCTCAAACAAAAAAATATATAACGTTAAGTCGCGCATCGATTGTCACGACGGCGGACTAATTTATTCGTGAATGGATTCGGAGCCCATTCCGGATCCGGTTTCGCGGTGGAGGTGGTGGGGGGGGGCTCATGCCAGAACAGAGGTTTAACCTCCGCACGCAGAGGGCCTGATGTAGGCATGGCAAAACATAAAAAAAATTAACAAAAACATTATCAAGCAATATGCCTGCTTCCCGTATCTCTCCCTCCATATAAAATATATAAATACACCGTTTAAAAAAAAGTACATCCAATTAGCCACACAGGCTTCTAGGATTTAAAGCTTTCGTGACTGCAGGGATTCATCTTATCAGTTCTTTCGGTAAAGTCACGTAGAAGGGAAATAATAAAATAATACAAATAAAACATAATAAAATACAATTCTCACGACGTTTCGGCCACAACACAAGGACGGATGCTTGTGTTGTGGCCGAAACGTGATAATTTTATTTTATTATGTTTATTTTTTTATTATTTCCATTTTACGTGACTTTACCGAAAGAACCAAGCGACTTCTAGGAGTGCAGAATTTCAGCAGTATTTGTTCAGCGCAAGCAAGACTGGTTTCGACATTCAGCGTCTCATCAGCAGATGTGAACTACCAGATGTTTATAGCTTTACAGCATTGGCACAAGGAAGGCTGACTGCTGATGAGACACTGAATGTTGAAACCGGCCCACAGTTTTTCTTGTCTTGAACCAATGCCACAAGAATTATAGACTCCTAGAAAGCAGTGTGGCTGGCTGATGGAATTTGTAGATCGTTATTTACGTGGAGGGATAGATATGAGGAGACGTGTTGTCTGGTTATTTGCAGTTGTTAGTACTCAGTAATTTCCAAATTAACGGTTAACTTGGGTTGCCAAGTCCGACTCAATTAATTTACTTTCTTAAAATATCCTTCATCAAAATCTCCCGGATTGCTCTAAGTAGTCACCGGGAGATCGATGCCAATTCTGGTACAGACTCCCGGCCAATCCGGGAGGGTTGATAACCCTTACAGTTAACAAAGGGACTTAAATTACGATTTAAAGCTTTCGTGACTGCAAGGATTCATCTTCTCTGGTTCTTTCGGTAAAGTCACGTAGAATAAGAATTTACCGAAAGAACCAGAGAAAAAAAGGGACTTAACATTAGAAATCTACTCTTCGAGGGACTGTTGATTAGGCTTTTATTTCAAACTGTCATTCCAGGATTTTAATTATTAGTGGTACTGCAGAGTACGAATGCCCTCGAATTAACACGGGGAGTCTCATCGAGTCTCAAGACACCTTTGTTTTTACTGCTACATTGAGATGTTTGGCCAATGCTTTTAAAAAAAAATTACATGCGGGAGGCCACTGGGCTAACCAAAGGAAAACTCCATACACACGAGGTGGTATCACTCAGGAGCTTCACACAGATAGATTCAGCAGTCCATTACTGTAGTGTCAGCTCCTGGCCATACGGCAGCCCAATTTTATATCACCCGCTGCCTCCAGGCACTCTCGCCTAAAAGCAGTTTCTTTCAAAGCAGTTACTTCAATACTGCTTTTTAGTGTTTAGTGTTTGTTGTCCTTCCCCCGCACATCCGATGAGCGTGTTTGGCTACGTACGGTGCAAAATAAGTTAAACATACATTCTCTCCAGGTTCGATGCAGTATCTGGACTAGTTGACCAGAAACGTACTGAGAGGGAACCGTATTTTGCGATTTAAGTGACCACCTCAGACGAACTTAGGGTGGTGCTCATCACAAGTTAACTTCCATAAGAGGTTTTACAGTGAGGGAAATAAGTATTTGATCCCCTGCTGATTTTGTACGTTTGCCCACTGACAAAGAATTGATCAGTCTCTAATTTTAATGGCTGGTTTATTTGAACAGTGAGAGACAGAATAACAAAAAAATCCAGAAAAATGCATGTCAAAAATGTTATAAATTGATTTGCATTTTAATGAGGGAAATAAGTATTTGACCCCTCGGCAAAACATGACTTAGTACTTGGTGGCAAAACCCTTGTTGCCAATCACAGAGGTCAGACGTTTTTTGTAGTTGGCCACCAGGTTTGCACACATCTCAGGAGGGATTTTGTCCCACTCCTCTTTGCAGATCTTCTCCAAGTCATTAAGGTTTCGAGGCTGACGTTTGGAAACTCGAACCTTCAGCTCCCTCCACACATTTTCTATGGGATTAAGGTCTGGAGACTGGCTAGGCCACTCCAGGACCTTAATGTGCTTCTTCTTGACCCATTCCTTTGTTGCCTTGGCCGTGTGTTTTGGGTCATTGTCATGCTGGAATACCCATCCACGACCCATTTTCAATGCCCTGGCTGAGGGAAGGAGGTTCTCACCCAAGATTTGACGGTACATGGCCCCGTCCATAGTCCCTTTGATGCGGTGAGGTTGTCCTGTCCCCTTAGCAGAAAAACACCCCCAAAGCATAATGTTTCCACCTCCATGTTTGACGGTGGGGATGGTGTTCCTGGGGTCATAGGCAGCATTCCTCCTCCTCCAAACACGGCGAATTGAGTTGATGCCAAAGAGCTCCATTTTGGTCTCATCTGACCACATTACTTTCACCCAGTTGTCCTCTGAATCATTCATTGGCAAACTTCAGACGGGCATGTATATGTGCTTTCTGGAGCAGGGGGACCTTGCGGGCGCTGCAGGATTTCAGTCCTTCATGGCGTAGTGTGTTACCAATTGTTTTCTTGGTGACTATGGTCCCAGCTGCCTTTAGATCATTGACAAGATCCTCCCGTGTAGTTCTGGGATGATTCCTCACCGTTCTCGTGATCATTGCAACTCAACGAGGTGAGATCTTGCATGGAGCCCCAGGCCGAGGGAGATTGACAGTTCTTTTGTGTTTCTTCCATTTGTGAATAATCGCACCAACTGTTGTCACCTTCTCACCAAGCTGCTTGGAAATGGTCTTGTAGCCCATTCCAGCCTTGTGTAGGTCTACAACCTTGTCCCTGACATCCTTGGAGAGCTCTTTGGTCTTGGCCATGGTGGAGAGTTTGGAATCTGATTGATTAATTGCTTCTTTGGACAGGTGTCTTTTATACAGGTAACAAGCTGAGATTAGGAGCACTCCCTTTAAGAGTGTGCTCCTAATCTCAGCTCGTTACCTGTATAGAAGACACCTGAGAGCCAGAAATCTTTCTGATTGAGAGGGGGTCAAATACTTATTTCCCTCATTAAAATGCAAATCAATTTATAACATTTTTGACATGTGTTTTTCAGGAGTTTTTTGGTGTTATTCTGTCTCTCATTGTTCGAATAAACCTACCATATAAATTATAGACTGATCATTTCTTTGTCATTGGGCAAACGTACAAAATCAGCAGGGGATCAAATACTTTTTTTCCCTCACTGTATGGGTTAGATCACGTAGATATATAAATGTGTCGTTAAAGCCGCCACCACCCGACACAGCCAACTAGTAAGATTTGTCACGTAAACAGAACGTGCCACTTCGTCACTTGTTGGAGAGCAAAGCATAACATTTGCAATCTGGGTACGACGTTTCGCCAGTGATTACAACTAGCTTCATCAGGCGACAGCCAGATTTGTGGAGATATCCTGTTATATATTTAGGCGATCTCACCTAAAAAAACATGTATTATGGATGAAATTGGTCGTGAAAGCCTACATGTTAAATTGGCAAGTTAACTTCCTTGAGCCAGTGGTGGAAGTTCCACGATCCCATGCCAGACGCCAGTTTATGGACAGATCACTGGTGATAAAGTATTACAGCTTTCGTGACTGCATAAAATTACTCATTGTTTTTTTTCGGTAAAGTCACGTATGTAGAAATACAATAAAATTATATTAAAACAAAAACAATCACGACGTTTCGATCACAACGCAAGCGATCTTCATCAGGTGTCAAGAACAAATCACGGAGGTGGTCCGCCAGGAAGTGTCTAACTATGTTGTTGGCCTGACTGGATGTGCTTCACATAATGTTTTTTCAGGTTTGTTGAATTCTCGTCTCTCATCTTTTTGTTGTATTTACCTCCGTGATTTGTTCTTGACACCTGATGAAGATCGCTTGCGTTGTGATCGAAACATCGTGATTGTTTTTGTTTTAATATAATTTTATTGTATTTCTACATACGTGACTTTACCGAAAAAAAACAATGAGGTCACTGGTGACCTAGAGTGTTGCTGACTTTATCGAACATGGACGAGGATTTGAACTTGCAACCTCTTTATTTCAAGATGCGCACTATGTACGTATGTATGTTGAACTTTTTTCACACCGTGCGTAGCCAACCGTGCGAATGGATAAAGGCCTCCCCACGGTGTGTCATGAGAGTTGTTTGACCATACTTCACCATGCTGGTCAGTGTGGGTTGGTGAAGGGGGATGGGCCCAGAACCATGTTCAGACATTCACCACCGATGGATAACTCGTGATATGGATTCAAACTTAGATAACTTGGTTTGTGATGCAGAGCACTAAACCACAATATACAGTAAATTATTGGGCAAGAAAAATAGAATTGTATAATAGAAAATTTCTTTCAATTTCCATAAAATATGAAATTACACAAACATTTTTCAGACTTTTGTTGGTCACCCAGATCATGGAGAGAAATGCAGGAAATGTAACCATGAAATTGACAAATCATATTTGAATATGGTAACCTTTTTAATGTCACAAGACTCCCAAGTTAAAACACAAAAAAACCTCCGCACAGTTGAACGCTCAGAATTACGGGGGACTGTGACCCCTTCACGATGGTCACGTACTAATTAGCGGGCACAATAATGGGATTAGATCTCAAGGATTTCCTTGGCCAAGACAGCACTAAGGCTGTGTCACGGTGAGCAAGGGATTGTAAAAAACACGTCTGGGTTCTATGTAAAAGAAAACCCCAATGCACACGTGCTCATAAACGAAATAAAGTATGACTGGGTTTTAGATTTCACATCAGCATTGGGGGTCATCGGTTATCAATTGATTCATTAACATTATTCTGAAAGTAATTTCTAGAATATACGTACACCTGTGTAAATTTAATTTAAATGCCACCTGCGTGTGGCCAATTTGGAAATGAATCGGCAAGGCTGAAATTATCCACGTTTAAATCTCCGTCTCTTTGTTACAAGAGCCCTGCCATGTAAGTTCCTTCAGAAGTTCCCACATTTCTCGTAATACGGTAATGCATTCAACTCAGGCAGACGATTTTAACAAAATGCAACTTAGAGCCGATTCAACCCGACCAAATTTAAAACAATTCTCCGCAGCACCACAATACAGTACCGTGCGTTCAAAACTTTAATCAAATATTCCATGCATATTAATTTACCTAAGTGCATTCATTGCCAGTGCCACTTACGATGCCACATCGCAGAGCATATTCGTGAGACTTCAGCACTTCCTAAAGTATACTGAGCGTGTGAGGATTACTGATTAAAAGCAGAATTCGGAGCTGTGGTTGCCAAACCTTTTTGTGCCTACGGACCACTGTCCAATCGCCATAGCATCAATTACATATCACCATGATATGCAGTCGTTTTGTGACGATATTTTGAGTATATCTGCAGCAGTTCCGAGGACCACTTCATCACAGCCTCGTGGGCTGGCCGGTGAGGCCACAGGTTGCCAACCGCGGATTCAAAGAGCATCGCCTATTTATGCCATCGTCATTTTGATGATTTACAGTAGCACCAGAATAATCAACAATGCGAGGAATACAATCATTAACAAAAAAAAACATTTCCTCAGACACACTTTTTTTTCTAAGCCTTTCTCAATGTTTTCGAAGCACCAATGGATGTTGATGTAAAACGAGTGCAATGTTAAACACCGGGTTATCAATAACGTACTGTAATTGTTTAACGTAAAAATGCAGGTTGCCGGAGCCAATACTCTGATCCCATAATAGATTTTGGGTTAAGCCACAAGGCCTCAGCCAATCACACGGATCAATGTCATGTTGATGTTTTTGATATTTCAGTTTGTGACACACCCCACCCCCACACTACCATTCCCACTTAAGCTTTTTTAAAATCTTAATTGACAGACATACAAGAAAAAAGCCATTGTTTAACGGTTATAAACTGTGTATTTGATACTTAATTGATTTGCTGTATGTATATTTATATATTTTTTTACATTTCCAATATTTACATGTGTTTATATGCACGTGTAGACGGTGTGTATAAATACTAAATGTTTCATGAAACACATGCGCCACAATCGAGTTAAGTGGGTACTAACTGGCTCCTCCGTCACCAAATGGGATTGTACATTTTAACTTGTATCTCAAAAAAAACCTCAGAGGCAGATGAGCAGTGAAGTGGGCAACAAAAACTAGCAGTGGATGAAGCTTGCTGGAAGCTTTACAAATGTTGCAGTCAAATTGTAATTCTTAAGGGACAATCATTCAAAGTACAAATGATGCTTCAATCTTGGTGACTAAAACTAGGAAGTTCTTCCAGTAGGGGGACAAAATCTAAACTAATTATTGAGCCATATTTAAAAGTGGTTTGAAAACCTCCTAATAGAATCCGTTTATGAATTGCCGATCCAGAGACGGTGTCTTTCAGTTGACCAAATAAGTACTCTGGGTTGTATCTTTTTGCTGGTGAGCATTTCAGACACGTCGCAGTATTTGATTATATTATTGTTGATGCGACTCTATGCCACTGTGACCTATGAAGCTGCATTTGCCCATCAATTTACTAGACGTCCTCAATGCAAAACAACAAAGCTAATATAAAAGACTAAATCTAATAGGAAATGTCTAGCATCACGTATATGAGATAATACATAAATAACTAACACATTGCCAATTAGGAGGTAACGGAACTTAAATTGATGAACACCCACATGCCTGTTCATTAAAAAAAATATGCAATAAAAAACATGAAACACATAACATTTGAGCAAGCGTGAAAATACATTTGTGTTGTTTTGTTTTTTGCATTTGAAAAAAAATATTTGTACCTTTTAGCTTTATTATCATTGTACTACGTCGATGTTTTATCATTAAAGACACTAAAGTATCGTGAATTTGGTTCCTGAGCATAACGTGTTTCGTGATAAAAAAAATTTAGAAATAATTTTTAAGTACTGTACTCCTTTGCATCCCACAATATTAACGTTGAGAGAAAAAAAATAACCCACAACCCTCAATTAAAAACCATTGTGTTGGAGCCACAGTATAACATATCACAGGCTCAACTGTAACTGTTGGATCAATAAAGACGGCAAACCCTTTAAAGCAGTGATAAAAAAAAAAAACTGTCTCAGACAGTGGATGATAAAAGTAACATTTTCAAAGTCGAAATTTCAACACCGCATTGGAAACTACCTTCAGTGAAACGGACAAAAAAATCACAAAGCTTTGTAGATGCCCTCTGTGCAAAAAAAACCCCGTCTGATATCCAAATCAGCCTCAGGGAGGTGTTATTTAATAACCGTAACGTGACCCTTCACAGGCTCACAGTTTCACAGGAATGCCACCGCTGTCATAAGCGCCACGTAAAGTGGATGGACGGTGGACACGCGAGAGATCCCCGGGAGTGGGTGTTTTTTTTTTAAGTGTCAGGTTTTCTTTGGTGTTTTTTTTCGTGTTTTAATGCCAGGTGTACCTCGATTGTGCTGCCGGCATTTTGTCACGAGATGAAAAATCCGTTGGGAAATCTCACAGAGCAGTGCGAGGCCATCGTGTTGACGAGCGGCCCACGGAAGCGGATATCACAGAGCTACCTCCGAGATCCCTTCCAGTGACTTCTGGTGAACACAGTAGGGGGCAGCACTTTCCCACATGAGTCTTAAGACTCGGATGAGGCTTATTTGGATAAACAAATGGAATGCCTAGTGTTGTATATTTGACTGTGAAAATGTGAATTTCCCATCCTCCCATTTGAGAACGTGTGGCGTTAACAAGGCCTTGTTTCTGCAATACATCTCCTTATCGAAGACAACTAAAAGCACCTCTCCTAAACTGCACGAGAAAAGAGGAACGATTTGGGCCTTTCATTTTGCGACGTAACAACAGAACTACACTTGCAATGTTTAAACAAAAACATTACTTACATTTTTTATATCCCTCCTCATTAACCCCATTATTATCATCATCATCGGTCTTAATTTTGAATTCATGTATTTTTGTATTTATTACACAGACGCCCCCTCAGTAGTTGGGGCCCTTGCTAAAGGGGTTCCGGCCCCCTCCTACAAAATAGCACAAGGAGGGATCGCAGATCCCCGGGGGTCCTGGCAGGCCCGTCAGCCCCGGTTTCCCAGGATCGCCGTGTTTCCCTGGGGGTCCTGGTTTCCCCGGACGGCCATCCTTCCCCTCCCCTGGGTGCCCTGGGGGGCCTGCGTGAGAAGGCAAGGGGGAGGAGCGGGGTAACAGAGGAAGTGTTCAGTTAACAAGCCGAGATATTGAGCCTGGTTAGCACGCACGACTGCACAGGTTTTACGCGGTTGAACCGAACGTTGCTCGTGTGTAGGTATGTTGACCTTCGTTCACACCGCACGCAGCCAACAGTGATAATTAATTGGAGGTGTGGAACCCGAACTTGAGGAACTAAAGATGTTTCCAGAACGTGGAGCTCTGAAGAAACCTCATGAGGTATGTTTCAAGAACTCACTTTAATTTTCATCGCATGGACTTACCTGGGAGGCCAGGTGGCCCATCTACACCGGGGTATCCCACCCCTCTGCCACCCTTGTCGCCCTTGCTGCCTGTTTCGCCTGCGTGTGGGTAGGGGCAGACACAGCATCACGAGTCACACATGGATGCATGTATGTATGTATGTTGAACTTCTTTCACACCATACATAGCCAACCGTGCTAATCGGAGGTGTGGGGGAAGGACAATAAACTAAACACAAGAAACAGTTATAAAGAATTCATAATAAAGGTTTTTGGGTTAGATCGCGTTATTTATAAATGTGTCGTAACCCTCCACCACCCGACATCGCCAATCAGCAAGAAAGTGTCACGTTGACAAAAGACAAATAGTTCACTACTTTAGCCCACCGGTGTGTTGAAGAGTGAATCCACAACATTTACAGTTTGAGTACGACGTTTCGCTGGTAATTACATCCAGCATCATTGGGCAATTCGCCAGAATGGTAAAGCCCTCACTTGCTCCCGGTCTTAAATAGAGCAGCAGGGTGACGTCATCATTTAACTCATTCAGGTGCAATGATTTGAGGCGGAGGGGGGGTATTGTAATTATATAATCGATTGGTAATCAGTCAATGGTTATGATTAGTAATGAGTTGTAGATTAGTAATTAGTTGTAATGTGTGTTATTGTGATTACATGCTACGTTAGTAATCCGTTAATTAGATGTGTTTAAATTTCGATTTAAAGCTTTCGTGACTGCAAGGATTCATCTTCTTTGGTTCTTTCGGTAAAGTCACGTAGAATGAGAATAATGAAGGCCGCTTGTGTTGTGGCCGAAACGTCGTGAGAATATTATTGTGTTATTTTATTTTATCAATTTAGTATGTGTTTCCCCTATAAGGAATTGTAATATGTATTATTTAATAATACGCTTCAATCGAGATGATTTAAAAGTGTATGGCTCCAGTGGCTTCTGAATATCTAAAGGAAGAGCATTCCAGACGGTCGCAGAAGACCATCTGAAAGCACGCGATGTGGTCACCATCTTTGCTCGATGGCCAGTCAAAATCCGCTTTTGCGAGGATGACCGGAGCCAGCGTGGTGGTTTATATTCCTTGACGTTGCTTGTGCACCACTGCCGCCGACGGCAGCACCACTCAATAATTCGACTATTGGCTAGGTGATCGGTGACGTGTACGCACACGTATAACATGCAGAGCCTTTTGCCAATCCACTGCTGGATGAAAGCCTCCCCCACTAAAACGACTGCGATGGAGCGCTACCGCTCAGTGCGTGCAACAACAACAACCGCCGCTCCCCACTAAGTGGCGGTGATGTCACCACGGCACTCGTGCCAGGCGGGGTGCACTTTGAGGCCGCCGTGACATGCTGCAGACCCGCTGGCAGGAGGTCACGGGACAGACACGCGGTGCCATGGGTCGCCTGACTAAGACGACCGGCGGATGCACCAGCCGCGCGTACGACACCAACGCACGCGACACACGCCACGCACGACACACAAACCACGCACGACACACAAACCACGCACGACACACAAACCACGCACGACACACAAACCACGCACGACACACAAACCACGCACGACACACAAACCACGCACGACACACAAACCACGCACGACACACAAACCACGCACGACACACAAACCACGCACGACACACAAACCACGCACGACACACAAACCACGCACGACACACAAACCACGCACGACACACAAACCACGCACGACACACAAACCACGCACGCCGCCGCGCACCTTTCAGGCCTTCCGTGCCGGGCTGGCCAGGAATGCCGGGCAGGCCCATGCGGCCTGCCTGTCCCGGGAATCCTTGGAAGCCCCTCTCTCCGGGCGAGCCCGGCGATCCGGGGGTGCCGGGGACGCCGTCCCGAGACACGCACGGCTCGCATGCTGGCCGGGAGCTGTGTACCATCGCCGGGAGCTGGGCTGGACAGGGGAGGGGTGGGGGGGAGGTGCGAACGGTCAGAGGTCCGCCCGGTTTGTTCAGCGCAGCGCAATCGACGACCGATTCCCTCCGTAAAATTGATCAGCCAAATGTGACCGCGGGGCGCGCCGCACCAAACGATGGAACGTGTTGCGAATCTGTGGGTCTCCTCCGTGTGAGTCGGAGGGTCTCTGCGAGTCTGTGGGTCTCTGTGTGAGTCTATGGGTTGCTGTGCGAGCCCACGGGTCTTTATGTGAACTGACGTCTCTGAGGGCATGGGTGGGATTCACACTCGCCGTCCCCTGAAGTCAGCAGCTGGAGTTACAACTCAGACATCGAACTACGTACGGGTGCTTCTCAATTCAAGTCCACAAGAAGTAAAAAAAAAGCTTCGTGGCTGACGGCACGCGCGGCGTAAAAAGTTTGGTGAAATGTGAAGAACAAATTGGATTTGTAAATGTTTTAAGTGTTTTTTAGGTGCGGGGAGGGGTGGAGGTGAATATTACTGTCGCACAAATTTGTACATAGAGACACTCACATGAATGCAAGGACGTGTACACTGAATTTACAGTGTTCTGTTCACCTTAAGTTAATGTTTGGCGTGAACAGATCGTCATGTAGCAGTGGATTGACAAAGGGCAGAATATTATGTTTTTATTATTATTTCATTGTTAATTTTCAGTAGAAATACAAACAAACGAAGCCACTAGTCATGTACGCTACAGCGTTGGTTTCCGCGCTCGATCGACACGACGTCCGACATTTACGCCTGTGAAAGAGCCCCCAGCACGCGGAACGAAACGTCGGACACCACGACGATCGACGCGCGGCGGCAGCCTGGAAATCCCATCGTACGTGCGACTTTAGCGATGGGAGGGGGTAACGGGACACGACTGCGGACACTCTGCCACTTCACGTTCAAGTCCGTTCAGCTTCAACAGGGTGAGAGGCCAGGGTGGAGTCTCGTTTGCGAGGGCGATCCGGGCCGCCGGAGGTTTATTCAGACCCACGTGACGCGCAGCAATCCGCCGCAGGGAACTTACTTCTCAGCATGTCGTAGCACACCTTGCGGATGTGCTCATCCGACACCGGGGTGCCCTGCGATGAAGAGCGAGCGCACAAGCGACCGGTGAGCGCCCATGCGGAGTTACAAAAGCGAGCACGGGCTGAGACGGGCGTGTAGGTGCGACGCGTGATCATTGTTTTATATACGTACGCATATTCAGATAATCACAGTGCACGTGGGAAATAGAAGAGTGTGCGGATGAAAAGGTCACTTCATTGCGCCTCGGAAGTAGTTCTGCGTTACCACCTTCTCAGCGGGCCGCACGAGACGTAACAAATAAGACGCTGGCCTCGACGAGACGATGACAACGGTGACAGCACGGTTAGAACGGAGCCGAGAAAAAAGGGGCCGTCCATAAATTACGTCACGCGATTTTGGACGGTTTTTGACCCCCCCCCGGTCGTCACACAGCGTCACAAAAAGTCAGACCCCCCCTGAAATATGACGTCACCAAGCTCTGCCCCCCCCCCCCAAAACCATATTTACATTTTGAAAATAAAACATGCTTCAAATCGCTTTAAACTATTGTCATTGTAGTGCGTATTTAAAGTGGCGCTGCACTCTGTGATGTTGTAGGAGTGTTGTTATAACGATTAGCGTTGTTATAATATTTATTTAAAGTTGCGCATTGTCATGTGACGTCACATTTCTCAACCCCCCCCCCCTCGTCACACGTCACAAATGTCTGACCCCCGCCCCCAGGTGCGTGACGTCATTTATGGACGGCCCCAAAGGTCGGACAACGAGAAAACAACAACGACAACGAGCAATGGCGAGCGAACTGTACCGGCTTTCCCTGGGCCCCTGGAAGCCCTTGCACCCCCCTCTCCCCGTCGAGGCCCCGTGGGCCCTTCGGCCCCGTGGGGCCCTGTGGCCCTATCTCGCCCTTGCGCCCGTCCAAGCCGCGCTCCCCGGGCACCCCGTGACTCCCTCGCTGGTCGCACCGCGTTCGGTAAAAACAACGACAGCAACAACACAAACAAAAACAACAACAACAAGAGCAGAAAGCAAAGTGGCGTCAGCGTGAGCAGCAGCTGTAGGCAGTGACAATGCATGGATTCGCCTGGTATACAGGAGGTTGTGGGTTCAACCCCGACCCTGCTATATATATCGAGTTTGCGTGTCTCTCTCTCTCTCCCCAATGGTTGCGTGAAAATTCCCCTCCCCTGGTCCTCTAGTTTTTCCCTCCACCATCCGCAGTGCCCCGGGGTCGGCTTCCTTTGTGCTTTCTCCTTCTTGGCGGCGATCCACTTTGGCGTCAGGACGTCATCGGGATCTCGACGTGGGCCTCCCTCCGTGGCCCGGTGGACTACGCAGCGCCCACCCCCTTAGGCGGGGCTGCTTCTCCTCCTCCTCCTCCCGGTGTTCGAAGGGCCGAAGTTGTCGACGCTCACTCGGCGAGAACTCGAGGGTGTCATGGAACCGCCGCTTCCCCTTTGTCCTGCCCCCTCGTCCACTTGCTGCCCACTGGAGAGCCGGGAGAATAGGATCTTTGCGGGGAAGGCGGTTCTCGGGCGTGCGGGTGCATTGGCCGGCTCCATCGGAGTTCGTTTTTTTTTTCTCCTTTAGTGCCTTTTCTGACACAAAGCTTTCTTGACGGGAGGAATTCATATTCTCGGTTCTTTCGGTAAAGTCACGGAGATATAATTTTTTAAAATGAATTTTAAATAAAGGCGAAAAACACCACGACGTTTCGATCGCAACACAAGCGGTCCATTTTTATTTTCTATCTACGTGAACTTTAGCGAAAGAACCAAGAATATGAGTGCATTTTCTCCGTAGCAGCGCATGGGAATCAGTCGCACTGGCACGAGGTGGACTTTTCTCTTTGGGCAATGGTGTGGAGCGAGCGCACTGCGTCGTGCAGTCGCAGCGTGCAGTGGGGTTATGGACCCACTGGGGACGGAGCGGTTGAACGTGCACACGTTGAGCTTCTTTCGCACCGTACGTAACCAATCGTGCTAATCGGAGGGATCTGAGCGTGGCTTTTTTCACTCCGGCGCTGTCCTCCAGACAGTCTCGTCCCTTCACCTGATGAAGGCCGCTTGTGTTGTGGCCGAAACGTCGTGATTTTTGTTATTTTATTTTTTACCTACGTGACTTTACCCAATAGAACCAAAGAGTATGGATCCTTGCAGTCACGAAAGCTTTAAATCTAGAATTGACAACAAACTAAACCACGAAGAGCACAGAGAGCAGACATACATGCTACCAACTCAACCCCTGGTTAATCGCGACACTTTAGAGATGGGTGTTTGCTAATAAATGAATGCATTTCCTACGTTTCACTGAATGTTCCCCGACAATAGTTCAATACAAGCAGTCCTCAGACTCAACCACAACCTGTCATCATCGTCCCTACCTCTCCTTTGATTCCATTTTTCCCGGGGTCCCCCTGCAGGTTCAGAAAGGGGATCGGCCACACACAGAACATAAGCACATTACACACAACCGTTCTCTCTCCCACACACACGCATTCAGATAGCAGTTCAGCACGTAAGTAGGCTTTCGCGACCAATATATACATAATCGAGGTGCTTTTGGGTTCGATTTGCGTAAACATAAATGCGTCGTTAAACCCGCCACCACGTGACCCAGCCAACTAGTAAGGGTTGTCGGGTAAACAAAACGTGCCAATTAGTTACTAGTTCAGCACACCGGTGTGTTGGAGAGTAAACCCACAACATTTACAATTCGAGTATCGTGATATTTCGCTGACAATCACAACCAGCATCATCAGGCGACAACCATAATTCTGGAGCGATCCAATCCAAAACACCTCTATAATGGATTCAGATCGCAGTCGAATGCACTAACTAGCATTAAATGTGGATATGATGAGCATAAATGGTAAGTAATTGATTCTTGCACGTTATTCAATGCACAAACCGTGAACAATTAAAGAGAAAAATTAAATCAACGAATCTGTTGTTAAATCGACAGTGTCATGAATGGCCTGGTCACAACCGGTACGTTTACAGCGACACACACGCTCACACGTCATTGACAGAGATCCCCCGTATAGCCTTAACAGACCGTTCGAGCAAGTGCTATTCGCGAGCGCCGATAAAGGCCGGGCGCGGCAGACACACGCGACGCACCTTGGGTCCCTGTATCCCCTGCGGACCCTCGATCCCGGGATCTCCCTGCAAAGCACAAAAAACGCCACAGAGGCCGCGTGTTTGTCTTGAGGAATCGTCCGGACGAGGGAACAAAGTCCAGGTCTGGAATTCCCTCCGCCCCCCGTCCCCCAGCCATGCGTCCTTCACAACTCCGGCTCCGGTTCAACTCCCGTCTCACACGATAAGCCACTTCTTTGAGCTACCATTTGTGATAGACAGGTGGCAGTTCCGTTAAAACAACTGCAATCCATATCACGTGCCGGCTGAGAGGGAGTTTCACGTGGCAGCTGAGAGGGTGCTAAGGTGACGAGATGTTAACTACCTCGCCTGGTATACAGGAGGTCATGGGTTCGATCCCGACCCTGTCGCCTGCTGAATATTTGGATTTTCCGTGTCACGCTCCCCATGGTCACGTGGCTTTTTCTCCGGGTCCTCCGGTTTTTCCCTTCACATTTAGAATCAACGTCACGCAATTAGGGTATTTGGCTGCCATACATTTCCACGTGATAAGCCACTTCATTGAGCTGTAGTCTGAAATAGAACTGCATAGTTCAGTGGGCCTTACCTTGTAAAATAGAAAATAGTTTAATAGTTGAATGCTTTTAAGAGTTTAGTAGTTTCCGCGCGTGCCCCACTGTTCCGTGTCATCGTCCGAAAAAGTGGCTGCTGATCAAACGTGCCGCAAATGAAATGCTCGGCCGTAAAAAAATAAGTGTCGCGTGCATCTTGTGTCATCGCGAGCACTGACCTGTGCACCTGTACGGCCGTTCTGTCCATTGTCTCCCTGACGGCAAAAACACAAACCCAACAACAGCAAAGCGGTTAACGATTGTTAATTATGAACATTTAGTTAAAAACACGATAATTAATGATGAACATTTAGTTAAAAACACGAATAGGACAACGATGGGCGGCACCTGGACCGTTTTTTTGTTTGTTTTAAACGAAGTCTTGAATTGTCACGCGAGGCGGTGAGTCTGTGCGGACAATTTCAGCTCGTTCAGCTTCGTAGATCCGAAGATATTTAGCGTCAAAGATGCCAAAGAACACAATAAACAGACAACGTTAATTATAATACCATGTAGTAACAAAAATGTCTCAACCCCCTCTGAAATGTTGACGACCCCTGGCCTAGGCACTAGAGGGAGCCATTGCATCGCATTGGTGGATAAGGGGCCCTCCATTGAGTAAGTACGCAAAAATCTGTCAAAACGTGACCCTTCCCACCCTCCCTGTACCCACGCGTACTTTAAACACTCCCCCTCTAACTGCGTACGTACGCTTGACGCACCGCCCCCCCCCCCCCCCCGAATCCTATAGAACGGCCGATATTTAATCCACGCAGAAACGATCAAGGATTAATAATATTAACGTGTTTAGGCAAACGGATAGTCCACCGCCGGCTGCATTAAAAAAATTAAGTTGGGTACCTTGGCCACTTGCTGAGCTGCGTGATAGCTGCAGTCAGCGTTGGCACACGAGTAACATTTCTCCCACAGTTCCACTTCTCCCGCTAGTACTTGGTCTGTGACAGCTGAAGAAACTGAACTGTGGCTCATTTGAAGGCCAATGTAGACAAATTATTATCGCGGCTTCACCCCCCCCCCCCCCCCGTTTCCTATGCGTACATTGTCAGTAGACCTCCCATACGCAAGCGTACGCATTTGGGTTACCCCCCCCCCCCCCCCCATCCATGAGTACGCACTAGGCGGATGGCCCCTAAGTGCACCAGGCAAGGAGCCACGTTCGTGAGAGTTGTGGGAGAAACCACAGGGAAAGCCGCAGAAGGGTTCATATACATTGAGAAAAAAATAAATCCATTGTTCATCTTCCAGATCCTTTGAAAGTAACCACTTTAAAACGAGCTAAAAAAAATGGGGGGGAAAAAAAAACGAAGAATTTTACGAACGATAAAAACAGCCAGTAATGTGACTGTAAAGTGAATCTAAAAATATATGTGCGGTACTTTGATTGACCATACTTCTCCACGCTGGTCAGTACTGGATAGTGAAGTGGGGGTGGGGAGATGGTAGGGTGGTGTAGCGGTTAGCATCAGTGACGATTATCTAAACCAGTCCTGGGGCTCCCCTAGGTCGACTCACCCTCAAATGAGTACTTGGTGTGGTGTGTAAACATTGTCAATTGGGAGACAAAGGCGGCCGGGCGTGGTGCTGGACACCCACCCTCTTCTGTGCCATGCTCGCCTTCATAGGTGCTCGCTAACAGCACTTGCCCCAACAGTCTGTTAAGCCTATACGGGGGATCTTTGTCTTGGGGGGCGAAACCACATCAGATATTACTTGCTTTCGGAAGGCCGTGCGACTGATGGAATGTGTCCAAAAAACCTTCATGTTTTTACGTGGCGGGACAGATCTGTGAAAGTGTATTGTCTCCTTATTTATTTTGTTACTAATATTGCATCATGCTTTCCTACCTGATGACGGACGCTTGTGTTGCGCCCGAAACGTCGTGATTTATTTTATTTTTTACCTACGTGACTTTACCGAAAGAACCAAAGAGTATCGATTCCTGCAGTCACGAAAGCTTCAAATCAAGATTGTATTATTAATATTTTGTGTTATGTATTATATAATTTTGCATATAACCGTAACCCATGTCTAACAGGGAGAGTTCTTGCCTTTAAATATCTATTTTTAGCGAGCATCACTCTGCTGACGAGACACTGCACGTGTATACTGATCAGAAGTTTTGCTTTTGTTGAACCAATTCTGCTGAAATTATACACTCCCAGAAGGCCACGCGGCTGATGGGATGTGTAAAAAATATATATAATCATTTGACGTGGGGGTACCGATATGCGGAGGAGGCATCCACTGTGGATATTCATTCAGCTAGCCGGGTTCACGGCGCAACGTGCAAACCGCTGCACCACCGATCCACATTCGTTTTAAGGTTGAGGTCACGTGGCAGTAGTTTTTACGCCAAAATTCTCGTCATTGACCCCTCCACCACCCAACGGGATTTGTCACACACACACAAAAACAATATTATCAACACGTTCCAACGTATCGGTCCGAATCTGACCGACAAAGCTCTTCACTGGCGGCTTTAGACTTTCACGACCTAACGTCGTCATAATTCGTGCGCCACCACTCCACTCCCAAGTTTAAGCAGCGCCCCATTCTGCGTCTCTCCAGAAATAACGAAGACGTTCGAAGTCCCTTGACCTCTTGGCTTTCCAGACCCCGATTATCCAGTCGCATTTGCTTTTGCGAGCAAGCAAGCTCTCAACCATTTAGTCCCTCTGGTTCTCATCAGCAGAGTCAGTCTTGTTAAACAATGCTGCCGAGTTGCCAGATGTTGTTGGCAAGAGCACGTTTTCAAGGAGTGGGTTTAAAGGTTTTTGAAATTCCATTTACAGTACGCAAATGAAAAAAACCTTTGCGCGTTTATAAATAGATTAATGTACTGGGAACAGCAGACCAGTGAGCGGTGGATGCGTCTCACCGTACCTCTGGCACTCCCAAAACTACTTTTTATTTGACCAGGTAAGGCCCACTGAGCTGTATAGCTCTTTTTTCAGAAGTGACCTGGCCACCAACGATAGCACAACGAAGTGGCTTATCAGCACGTGGAAATGTATTGCAGCCAAATGCTCTGAACGCGCGTTGATTCTAAATGTGGTGGGAAAAACCGAAGGACCTGTAGAAAAATCCACACGACTACGCGGAGAGAGGACATGCAAACTCCAAATACACACGTATCAGGGTCGGGATCGAGCCTACGACGTCCTATATACCAGGCGAGCTAGTTAACATCTCGCTACCATGGCACTTGACCCAAGAGCTGAGAATTCCGCGCACAAAGCGCCGCCGCCGCCGAGATGAACACGAGATTGGTGGCGCCACGTTAGCGCGACTTGTGGCGAGCGCGATGCAGCGCAAGAGTAACAATGAAAGTAACGATAGAGGATTTGACTTATTTTTAAAAAAAGTTTTTTAAAATTTTCCTTACAGAGCATCCTCCGAGCCGGTGGTGGGGGGGGGGGAGGCCTTCGGTGCACTTTACACGTGGCAAGCAACTCATGTCACATCTCGAACAATTGGAAGCGCACCCCCGGTGGCAGCTGTCCTTGCAAAGCACGCAGTGACTCAGCGCCTGGCCTCCATGTGGCGGGCTGGAGGGGGGGGTGGGTCTTCCAGTAGGGGAGTGAAGACGGCGATGTGAAATCCCAATCGAGTTCTTTGCCGGGATCTTTTTCTCTCTTTTTCCTCGCAACTAATTCTCAGCTCTTGGTCAAGAGCCAAGGGGTTACGGGTGAGACGCGCCCACCGCCGTCGATACGTACACTCCCCTAGCAACGTCACCGCTGTGCCTAATACGTTGCGACGTCAGGGCATCGCGTCCACTGCGAATTCGTACCGTCAGTACGCGCACACACAAACGCACACCGCAATGATGTGGTGGTGAGATGTTATCTCCCTCGCCTGGTATGCAGGAGGTCATGGGTTTGCTCCCAACCTTGACGCCTGCTGTATATTTGGAGTTTGCGTGTCTCTCTCTCTCTCCCCGTGGCCGCGTTGATTTTTCTCCACGTCCTCCACATTTAGAATCAACGTGCGTTTTAGAGGATTTTACTACTGCTATAAATTTCCACTGAATGATAAGCCACTTAGGTGAGCGATCATTTGTGGCCAGGTCGTTTCTGAAAACGAGCTACGCAGCTCAGTGGGGCCTTACCTGCTAAAATAAAAAAAAAACTGTTTTAGTTTAATTTAAAGCTTTCGTGACTGCAATGATTCATCTTCTTTGGTTCTTTCGGTAAAGTCACGTAGAATGAGAATAAAATAATAAATTGATAAAATAAAATAACACAATAATATTCTCACGACGTTTCGGCCACAACACAAGCGGCCTTCATCAGGTGAAGGGGGCGAAAGAACCAGGGCGGCCCGGCAATTTAAATTTCAACCGGGAAAACTCGACAACGAGTCGAGGACGACACGCGACCGCTAGTCCGAGCCACCGCCCCAGCCGGATGATAGCCACGGACAAACGTACCTTCACGCCCGGACTTCCGGGCAGTCCCGGCGAGCCGGGCAGGCCGGGGAATCCCGCGTCCCCTTGCTTGCCCTGCCGGCACAACGGAGAGATTGTGAACGTCTGTAGGGGGGTGGTGGGGGGTGGGGTGTGCTGGAGGGTGCTGGGGGGGGGGGGTCACGTCTGTTCGTGCCATGCCTTGGCGACGCAACGCACTGAGTCACTCGCCCAGTTACTTTAGAGCGGCTTCTTGCGTGCTCGTTTGTTGTCCCTCCCCCCCCCCCGCACCTCCGATTAGCATGATCGGATACGTATGGTGCGAAAGAAGTTTGACGTACGTACGTACATACGTACGTCATGGGATCGTGGAATTGCCTTCGCTGACTTCTCTGGGCTCACTTAAGTAGGGGGAAATCTCTTGCGACGATTGCGGCCAGGAGTTGGTGGTGGTGGTGGCAGTGACAGGGGACCAGTGTTTCTTGACTGGGGGGGGGGGGGGGGGGGGGCAACCGCCAAACCGATACAAGCCTGCGAACCGCCGGCTGAGTAAAGGCAAGCGCAGGGACGCGTTGCGGGGAATTAGAGAGTGGGCGTCCTCGTGCGTTGCCAGCAGCTGGGTTTATTCCGCCGAGGACGTTGGCACGTGGAAGGAAACCCAAGAGCCCTGAGAAGAACCCTCCACACGCACGGGGACATCGCTCAGAGCACCGCGGCACGCCCGGCAGTTAAGACGGCTGTCGTTTTGGTCACGTTCTGCCAAACGTGAGCAGAACCCAACAAGACTAGCTAAACAAAACTTCTTCTTTGGTTCTTTCGGTAAAGTCACGTAGAATGAGAATAACATAATAAATTGATAAAATAAAATAACACAATAATATTCTCACGACGTTTCGGCCACAACACAAGCGGCCTTCATCAGTCTCGTCCCTTCACTTGATGAAGGCCGCTTGTGTTGTGGCCGAAACGTCGTGAGAATATTATTGTGTTATTTTATTTTATCAATTTATTATTTTATTCTCATTCTACGTGACTTTACCGAAAGAACCAAAGAAGATGAATCCTTGCAGTCACGAAAGCTTTAAATCGAAATTTAAACTAAACTTTTTGTTTTATTTTACCAGGTAAGGCCCAATGAGCTATGCAGTTCTTTTTCAGACTGCAACTCAATGAAGTGGCTTATCACGTGGAAATGTATGGCAGCCAAATGCCCTAATTGCGTGACGTTGATTTTAAATGTGCAGGGAAAAACCGGAGGACCCGGAGAAAAAGCCACGTGACCACGGGGAGAGAGACATGCAAAATCCAAATATACAGCAGGCGACAGGGTCGGGATCGAACCCATGACCTCCTGTATACCAGGCGAGGTAGTTAACATTTCGTCACCTTAGCACCCTCTCAGCTGCCACATGAAACTCCCTCTCAGCCGGCACGTGATATGGATTGCAGTTGTTTTAACGGAACTGCCATTCATTCGAATGGAAACGCGGTCGATAATGATTCTCGAACAATACAATCTCAACAGATGTCTTGTTCAACGGATCTGGCTGGATTCACAACAAAACAGATTAGGCACACAACACGTCAGCAAGAACGTATCCATCTCACCACGTGAGCAAAAAATAAAAGTATTCTTTGTACAACCCATGGGCCCCCACGGCCTTCTGGGTGCGAATACCATCACCAGTGCCGAATCGGGACAACACTCACAGCAGACTGAGACACACAACTGTGGACCGGTTTCGACACACTGCGTCTCGTCAGCAGAGTCGGGCTTGTTTGAATCAATGCTGGCGAAACGCCAGATGTTGAAGGCAAGGGCTGTCTCTGCAAGATGTGTGTGCTCGTTAAACAGTTTTTTTTTGAGAATGGAATTATTTAAAGGGACTCTCACACACAGCCAAGGTGTATGGTGACAAGGTAAGAACGGTTACATTTTGTGAGTTGTCCCTTGCTTTAAAAGGCAACGTAAGGAGGAAGTTAATTTGTCCATCAATCAGAAATATTCACTCACGGCATTTAATTGAGTAATGATCGCTCTATAGAGTGAACCAAGAGCTCATTCTGACCAACGCCAACCTGGGAACCTTTTCCGCTTGCTTCATCAGGAGCGCATCTCTGAGTTTCAAGGCTCCTTATCAGGAGGCAATGCCATGCTCTAGCGCAGTGGTTCTCAACCGGGGGGGTACGCGAACCCCTGAGGGTACGTGACAATGTCCAAGGGGGTACGTGAGGCGATTTATAAACGCGTGAAATCATATCGTAGGTGAGAGTCAAGGGTGAATAATCACGGATGAATCTGCCAATATAAAATAACTAGGATACATTTTTTTATCCATATGGTAACCTATAACGATATTCAAGACCTTTCTAAACTCATTGATTGTAAGCAACGCGGTTTCCAAGAGTAACCAGCGAGCTCGAACAAATTAGGTCACGCGTGAAGAGCGTCGGTTGATTTTGTGTTTTTCTTCGCTTGCAGTTACTAGCTAGTCACAAAATATTTACGCTGGATATGAGTAAATTTATTTCTCAGAACAATGTCGGGGTCACGCAAGGGGGGTTACTGGTTGGAAACAAAATTCAACAAGGGGATCACAGTAGCCAAAACATTTTTTTTGAGAACCACTGCTCTCTATATATTCCCACCGAGTAATTTGGAGGTCCATTTTTGAACGTTTTGCCGGTAATTTTGACCCGCGGCGCTGGCAAATGAGAGGCCCCACTCATGCGAACGACGTCGCAGGGAATCGTCAACGTACCCCCCCCCCCCCCCCCCCCCCCCCCCCCCCCTACGAAGCGTACAGTGCACAGCACGTTTGTTTTCTTCCTCCAGTTTACGTTTATTTTCAGCGGCGGGGTACTAACCGGCGGGGTTAGCCGCTCTCGGACGGAACTGCGCACCACTGCAACAGGAGGGGAACGCCGCCGCCGCCGTGCAAAACAACCGTCGGGGCGGGCTGGTTACCACCGGGCGGCACGAGTAACGGAGAAAGAACTCACCACGCTTCCCGGCAAGCCCGATGAACCGGGCGATCCCACCTCTCCTTTCTCTCCCTGCCGGACGTGAGAAGAGACAGGTGTCAGACGGTGATGTCCAAAGTCATACAAATAATGATAATGATGATAGTAATGAGTCAGTGCGTTTGGTCCTCGTGCTATCCCTACAGCGCAAGGACTATCACGAAGGCGCTATGCTTCACCGACCGATGTATTTTAGTTTGCCAGTCGGGAGCGAGGTTCTTACTATTATGTCAAATCCCAATTGAGTAACAACGTTGGTACATTTGGACCATGTCTGAAGCGCACGATGGACCCACTGATCTCGAGTTCTTAACATCCACCCTGAAGCAGACGTAACTTTTTTTCCCGGTCTATACATCCGCAGCGATAACCAGGTCGGCCAGCCGGGAATCGAACCGCGAACCTCTGCAACAAGCGGTGAATGTCCTCCCGCTGTACCATTGCGTCGACTCTCCAGTGGGCGATGTCTATTGAAATTTTTTTCTATTCTATATTTTTTTTTACGTGGGTGCCGTGGTGGGGAGATGTTAACTACCTCGCCTGGTATACAGGAGGTCGTGGGTTCGATCCCGACCCTGACGCCTGTATATTTGGAGCTGGCGTGTTCTCCCCGTGGTCGCGTGGATCTTTCTCCTGGAACTCCGGTTTTTCCCCTCCATATTTACAATCAACGTGCGCTTAGAGTATTTGTCTGCAATACATTTCCACGTGATAAGCCCACTTCAATGGGAAATCATTTGTGGCCAGGTCGAGGTTGTTGACATCTCAACAGCGATGGTGAGGAGGGGCGGGGAGAGGGTTTGTTTACTGGGCCTAAATTCAGCCAGGGCTGAGCTCCAGAAAATATTTTCCACCGACTGAGGTGCACTTTGCTCCCACGCCTACGCTCCCCTGCTTTTGCCAACTCGTACTGAACCAGCGTGGTGAAGTATGGTCAAATAAACCCCCACAAGCCACACGGCATGGGGAGGCTTTCATCCAGCAGTGGATTGACAACAAAGGGATGTATGTTAACACCATGAGCGCATTTATTCTATTTGCATTGATAATATATTATTATGCCAACATGGCATGATGGTAACAATGCAGAAACCTCCCTACATTCATGTATGTTGAACTTCTTTCGCACTCTACGTAGCCATCCGTGCTAATCAGAGGTGTGGGCGAACGACAACGAACTAAGCACAAAAAAGCAGTTCTAAAAGAAATGAGTTCGTCAATCTAGATGATTTAAAAGTGCATAACCCCAGTGGCTTCCTAATATCGAAAAAGGAAGGGCGTTCCAGAGGGCCGCAGAAGCGCACCTGAAAGCGCGCGACGCGGTGACCGTCTTTGTTAGATGGCCAGCCCGCGCATGCCATCGCCGTGAACATGTTTAATGTTTAAATTCCGCGTCACCCTCGGCCAACAGCCCTGGCGAAGGATAGGTGCACTGCTCGTGCCGAAGGCATCGGTGTGCCTTCTTACTCACCCCAAAGGCAAGCGTTTCACTCCCTCGCTCATTCGAAACACATTTCTGCCGAATTGATCCAGTCGAGCGCTCAAGTCTCACTCACGGCGACGGCCCAGCGTCACGGGGGTGGAGGCGCGGGAGGGGAAGAAATGACTTTCAAATTAGTCATTACGGGATCATTTTCAAATTTGGCAAATTTAAAACCAAGCAATCATTGTCCAATTGGCCACACTTTAGCATCAGATGTTGCCCGCATGGTGAATTATCCTCGGTGCTGCGTGCGTCAAGGCCATGCTGCGCGAGCGGTAATTGTAGGGAAAAAAAATTGTCGGGTAAAAACCACCGATATATTTTTTTTCACACCACTTTGTAAGTATGCACATTGAACTTCTTTCACGCCGTACTAAATCGGAGGTGCGGGTCGGTTCTAAAGATGATTTAAAAGTGCATCGCTGCAGTGGCTTCCCAACATCAGAGGGAAGGAGCGTTCCAGACGGCCACGGCGACTGTCTTTGGCTCAGCCACTGCTGCTGCGAGGATGGCCGGAGTCGCGTGATGGTCCACACGTGGGGAGTGGGAGGTTTGACCTCCATGGCGCAACGGTCAGCACACTTTTCCACGGCCTTCATCCAGCAGTGGATTGACCACGGCAGGTGGTGTGCATTGCGGGATTCGTTGTCTTGTTGTCTTGCACTCGCTCGTAGTTGAATCCGACTGCAGACGTTCGTTTCCGAGCCGTCCGAGGCATCGTTACAAATAAATGCTCGCGAGTCATTATCAACGTCCATGATCAATCCGCGGCTGGATGGAGGCCTCCTGAACGTTCTCCGTGAGGTGGGGAGGGATTTGTGTGACCAACACTTAGCCACGCTGTTCAATGTGGCTTGGTTAAGATACCTACCTAACTATGATCTATGATGTAGGGACCCCCCCCCCCCCCCACCAATTGGGCAGGCTGTCATCCAGCAGTAGATTGACCACGGCTAGTGATGATAAGCGACTGCACACATTCGTAATTGTCTATGAGAATGTATTTTCGCGTGCTATGAAGAAGGACCATTTCCCGAAACGTTGCCTACTGTATACTTTTTTTTTTCCTTTTAAGGCTGCACGGCGTTCCTGACGAACGAGCTGATTGCGTCTGCAAAATTGTGCTTGTGCACCGCTGTCAATGCACCGGTGGCAGCAGCGTCGTTAAAATTACTCGTTCAATTACAGGGAAAGTACAACCAGTTAGGCTGGAAGGCTTCAACGAAAACTGTGTTGATCGCAGTGAAATTAAGACATTTCCACTTACGATGGACACCCCTTGGGGTCTGCACACACCTGACCCACACGCACAGCGATCGCGCGCGCCGCCCGGAATCACACGAACCTGTGACGTTCTGACACAGGGCCACCAAGAGCCACGTGCGGACCAGATGCGACGACAACGGCATAGGAGCAGCCCAGAGCAATGCACGCGTCTCCAATTCCGCGTGCCCCGAGTTTTCTTTTTTTAATGCTCAAATGTGGAAATCGCGATGCGGCGATGGCGCGAGCGGAGCGGCGAATCGAACCCCTCGGCAGCCGCGCGACGTTTTGGGCATCCCCCCCCCCCCACTCCGCGTGGACGCCGCGAGAACCGTGGGGGTGGTGGTGGCGGCGGTGGCCTCGCTCGCGGGAAGCGGGGCGACATCTGTTCGTAATGCAACGTCTCCACCACAGCCTTTGAAACTCAGAGCGAAATCCGCGGATGTCTCATTTCGTTTGCCAAAAACCACATCCAAATGCACATCGGCGTCAGGGCCCCCCATCCTTCCCACGCCCCATCAAACCCATCGCCATTCAACGGGGAAGTAGCAACGAGGGTGAGTCCGGCCCACGCGTGTTTTACTGGCATCCTCATCCTTCACAGCCACCGTCACCACCACCACCACCGTCACCACCACCACCACCGTCACCACCACCACCACCGTCACCACCACCACCACCACCGTCACCACCACCACCACCACCGTCACCACCACCACCACCGCCATCACCGCCGCCGTCTCCGCCGCCGCCACCATCACCACCACCACCACCACCACCGTCACCACCGTCACCACCGTCACCACCACCACCGCAGCACGCCGATGTTGTCACGGTCAATGAGCCTCACCACTCGAATGGGTAATGGGGCAGCGCTCATCATGCCGAAGGCCAGGCTTGCGATATCAGTCAGCAAGTCGGTCAGTGGAGGAAATTCCACATTCCCGTGACAATGGGAGTGATGGTAACGACGGTCGTTGCGCGTGTCAAAAAAGGGAGACTTTTCACGAACGTCGGCCAATGGAGGGAAAGCACCCCCCAGCCTGCCCCCCCCTCTCCCCCCCAGCCCCCTGCCAGCTGCTGGTGCCCACGTCACGTGTTTCCAATGCAAGGGCTGTTGAGTGATTGATGAGTCGTCCCCATGCAATCCGCGTTAACCGTTATTGAACACAGTCGGCCGTGGGATTCTCCGTGAGATCCCCGGGGCGGCGGCGGGCTCACAGCCTCTGGGCTTGTCGCGCGTTGGACTGAGGCGCTCCCTCCCCGCACCCCGCACCCCCCCCCCCCAACTCTGCACAGCAAAGCGTTTATCTCAAAGGATGAGAGGTTCGCCCCCCCCCCCCCTACCGGGGAAGTTTTGAGACGACGCCCAGTAGTCAATATTTGGCACGCAGGGGATGCACCCGTTTCCTATTTCGCAGAGATCGCTTTAACGATAAAACATCCAGTTATGTTATTTACAAAATTCGCTGCCACCTTCTTCCGGCGCAAGGTATACATCCACCCCACGTTTAACGGCGACGCCTGCACGTGCGTATGTTGAACTTCTTTCGCACCATGCGTAGCCAAGCGTGCTGATTGGACGATAACCAATATCTCTCCCCACCCCCCACCCTCCTATTTAACAGCCCACTGCTGGATGAAGGCATTCCCCAATGCAGTGTTGGTCACGGAGGTTCTGTGACCATAATTCACCACGCCGGTCGAAGGTGCGGGTTCGATTCCTGGCCACGGCATACCGTGAGCGGTGAGTGAAATACCCGAATGGGCGCCTGGGCTACACCCTTCATCAACCCGTAGGGACCGGCATGGTGAAGTATAGCCAAGCAGCACCCGTGACCAGAGCAGCAGTGGATTGGAAAAGGTTGGAAATTTGGTCCTTAACATTATGCGTTGTATGCAATTGGTTCATGTGACCTCTCCAGCCACTAGTGGCCGCTACATTCACCACGATGTAAAACAAAACAAAAAGCGCGTGTCTTCAAGCAAAATCGTGACCGCGAATCACAACGGCTCGTTGAATCTCCGAAGCGGGTGAATCGATGCACCACAGACGCGGGTCACGAGCCACAACGCAAGCGCGTCCCATCTCTCCGGGGTCGACGCGATAACCGGTTCGCACGTGGGGATGTCGAGCGTGGCTCCGCTGGTCGGGTGCCTCAGAGGTCAGGGGCGCAGGGCTGGCACCGCCGAGCGAATCCAGGCCTGCATATTAAGCTGCTGCTCCTCAAGTGCAACTGGCCGTCACCAATGATTGCACAAACACAAAACAAAAGTGGTGCTGGAG